CAATCTGCCAACCAAGGGCGCTCTGCTTCGAGAAGCAACCACTCTCAGTTTAGCGCTGACAAATCGTGTGACTTGACATCATTTATAACAAACCTCTCTTGATTGATGACATATTTCCCAGGAGTTGTTCCTAGGTCATGCAAACTGAATTCACGTTCAAATGCAATGTCTTGTGCAGTGTACTTACTGCAAGGAACGTTGGACGTGTTTGTGATTGCCGATAGCTTAGTTCTCAGAGCACCTTTGGCTTTGGTGGTGGAAGCTCCTGCTTTGTATACTTGTGTCGCGATGTCTGTCGTGTTTTTTTGCAGACTTTTACATTTAGAACTTTCTCAGATTAAGGATGGCGAGCTCTCTGAACAATAATGGTTTCTGGAAAGGTGTATTTCGGCAAAGTTTGTTCAGCCGGTCTGTAACTTTTAAAAGAAGCCTACCGGCCGTATCACTATCATTGTACATGTATGCACCGGTGGTGTTGCTGTGACTGTGTGTAGATTGATTGCGTCCGCGGAGATCCTGGCAAGGGTGGTGGTGCAGGTAGTGGTGGTTCGGGCGGTAGCGGCGGTAGTGGTGGTAGCGGCGGTAGTGGTGGGAGCGGAGGCAGTGGTTACCGTGACAGCAACGGGACTCACCATTCTGGCGGTAGCTCCGGCTTCTCCGGCTCTTCCGGTAAGCAACACCACACTACTCCACCGCTGTACTTGATTGACATGACCAATACATGTACATGTAGATTATGTTGATAGGATGTCTTCTCTGAATCCTATCCGTACTTTTTCACGTTCGGGAAACACGTTACAACCACACGTGTTGCGACGAAAAAGTTGACTTGAGAAAAATCACTTCTCCCACACCAAATGTCTGGCATTGCCCATTCTGTTACTGTATATCCATTTTGTTATTTTCTTCAGCTTGGAGCAGTTGTGTGGCCACTGCCCACTCACACAATAGAGTTGAATGTAATGGTGACGATTACCAACACACACCACTGGTTTGTCTTCTATACGTGGTCGGCTGTTTGTCTTTTGCCTATATTGGCTTGCCTTCTTTATTGCGCCTGATGACGCCTGACCATGGGGTGGTGGCGTCCCACGGAAACGGAAAGGTGGCTCTTGGCCCGCCCTGTACGCGAACCCGTGCCAATTTTTCTTTCTTTTTTTCTTTACTGTACCCTCTTGAGCTACAAAACAAGTGTGTCCACCCAGTGTGTCCACCAAGTGCACACACACACTCTAGCTCTACATGAACATGGTGCCGATGGTATTGACGTGCATTGTATGTCCCATTGCTGTGAACTCGTCCGCAGGATCTCCGGGTATGTCTGGCCATTCGGGCTCCGATGGCAACCGTGGTCTTGATGGCAGACTCGCTACTGATGGGGCCTTGCAGTGGACTGTCCTGGGTCAAGCTGGTAAGATGTATGGTGTGTGTGGTGTGTGTGTGTGTGTGTGTGTGTGTGTGTGTGTGTGTGTGTGTGTGTGAGTGAGAGTGAGGTGTGTGTGCACACATATGTGCACACGCATGTGCGTGTGTTGGGGCGGGGGGGGGGGGGGGTGCGTTGTTGACGTTTGTCAGGGGAAGACGTTCACCCTTTCCTCTAGGTTTGACAAAAGTACTCCAATGTACCCATCCAGCGTGTGCTCGTATGCTATCTTGGTTTGTGATTGCAGGAGAACCTTTGTTTTCGTCTCCGACACGTTTTGATTCCCTGGTGACTGACTACTTCACTGTCTCGGCTATTGATGATGGTATATTTGAGCCGAATGAGCGCATCACCATCAGCGGTGTAGTGTTTACTAACGATGGTGGACTACATCTACCATCCGGTGCTGAGGCTTTGTTTCCAACCACACAAACTGTGCACTTTGAGCCGACAAGGTTCACCATTCCAGAGGTAGGTGTATTGTACTGTCTCTGTCTTCCCTGTTTCGTTTTCCTCTTCACCAGACACTGCTCATTCTGCAATCCGTCCCGACTCTATTAGAGGTGTATGTCATACAGTGCATACAGCGCATACAGCGTATACAGTGCATACAGCGCATACAGTGCATACAGCGCATACAGTGCGTACAGTGTATACAGCGCATACAGTGCATACAGCGCATACAGTGCGTACAGTGCATACAGCGCATACAGTGCATACAGCGCATACAGTGCATAGCTGACTCACTGACCAGCTAATGTTCTAGAAGCCGTGATAGTCTTGACCACCAGTCACTCAGCCATGAATGCCTGACCAGTCTTGGTTCACGGGTCACAGGTGCTCTGATATGCCAGCATGTACAACTTTCGACTTCACCAGCCTAGCATTTGATATTCATCTTTGCCCTATTCATCTTTGCAATCTTGTTTTTCATCAAATTATTTTTGTAATTTGTGCCTCTGATTTCATTCTTGATGCAGGTGCCATCAGGTGGTAGCTTTGTTGTTCCCATCTCGTTTAGCGGTCGCATCTTTGACCAACCTCCACCGAATGCACCCGGACCTTTCATCGGCAAAGCTGAGATCTGTCCTCGAATTGAAATGCTCGGCCGTCCGTTTGAGCGGGTATGTTGCAGCCTGTCCACCATATGTTGTTATAGTATTTCTTACCCTGAACTGATGTTTAAGTTTTCTGTACGGCGTGGAGACTATTTCTATGTTCTGTTTACGTTGTCTTGCACTCAAGGCAGTTAGTCCACTCCTACAGCGACCTGTCTATATTGTCTCAACATCTTGTGTTTATGTGTGTGTATGTGTGTGTATGTGCGTGTGTACGTGTGTGTCTGTGTACGTGTGTGTGTGTGTGCATGTATGTGTGCATGTATGTGTGTGTGTGTATGTTCGTGTGTGTGCGTGTATGTGTGTGTATGTGTGTGTGTACGTGTGTGTGTGTGTGTGTGCGTGTGTGTATGTGCATGTATGTGTGTGTGTGTGTGTGTGTGTGTGTATGTACGTGTGTGTACGTGTGTGTGTTTATGTGTGTGTATGTGTGTGTGTATGTGTGTACGTGTGTGTACGTGTGTGTATGTGTGTACGTGTGTGTATGTGCATGGTGGGTATCATGTACATCTGTACACGATACCTACACCACCAGGCTGAATTACAACGTACGCTGACCGTCCAGTATCCCATCCAGATCAAGAAGATCACCGGACCCAATCACCTTGGTCGTGGAGAACTCACCAGCCTAGAGATTGCTGTAAGAACACAGGACTACTTAACACATCATTTGCAACACGATGATCCTAGCAGGTGCACTGTGCTGGTGCTGATGTTGAGTAACTAATGTTAGAGTCGGTTAGCCCGTGGTGAAACTAGAATGTCATGCATTGGGCTGACTCCGTGCTATGTCACCTAGTTCGGTCTGCCTGACCAGTGACTGCATCACCTAGTTTGGTCTGCCTGACCAGTGACTGCATCCCCTAGTTTGGTCTGCCTGACCGGCATGAAGAGGAAGAGGTTGTAGTGAATTACCGGTAGGCGATAATTTAGGAACTGTGTGTCGCTCCTTACGTTGGAGCTTGCTCTTTTCCCAGTGACTTGAACTGGCACTTTGACTGACTCACGACTGCCATCCAGAGCACTCGAGAAGTCACCGAAGCTGTAAGAAAGCACCACTCCCTTTAGTATTACTATTTTTTACTATTTTTACTATTTTTACTATTTTTACTCTACTGTATAATAGGTGCATGGTACAGTAGCTGACATGCTCATTTCTTGTTTTGCTCTGTGCTCCATGATGTTCTACCGCCTGGTCACTGTGTGCAGATCACGAATATCTCCACCATGGATTATGGTGATGTGCCTGGCAGTGGTGGCCAGGTCTTTGTCAAGGTAGGACTTCAACCGTCACTTTTCAACTCTGCATATATCTTGTCAACTCTCGCCGGCTCTCTCACTCACTCACTCCCACTCACTCTCTCACTCACTCACTCATTCACTCACTCACTCTCACTCACTCACTCACTCACTCATTCACACACTCACTCACTCACTCACTTACTCACTCACTTACTCACTCACTCACTCACTCACTCACTCACACACTCACTCACTCACTCACTCCTGTCTAACTGTCCACTGGTAAAATAGCACAAGTAGTATACTACAGTATGTCATATCTAGAGAAGTTGTTCTCAACTTGTCATGTCTATGCTGAGTATTGTTTTTTTGTTTGTTTTGCTCTTGTGCCTTTCACTTGTATAGCCGGTGGTAACATGAATGTGCGAACTTCACTTTTTGTTTTCTTGTACCTTTCCTTGCTTGTACCTTTCCTTGCTCACTTGTCTGCACTGCTTAGACTCGCTTGGATTCGCGTCTCCTGCCCCGTGGCCGTGCACCCGAATCCCAATACACTGTGTCGTTTGATCCCAACATTCCTGACAGCCTGCATATCCAGGTATGGAAATCATGAGCAGCTGAATTTAGAGTACCTGCCATGGACTCCATGGACTCCATGATTGTCTCTACCATGTTTGTCTCTACCATGTTTGTCTCTACCATGTTTGTCTCTACCATGTTTGTCTCTACCATGTTTGTCTCTACCATGTTTGTCTCTACCATGTTTGTCTCTACCATGTTTGTCTCTACCATGTTTGTCTCTACCATGTTTGTCTCTACCATGTTTGTCTCTACCATGTTTGTCTCTACCATGTTTGTCTCTACCATGATTGTCTCTACCATGATTGTCTCTACCATGATTGTCTCTACCATGATTGTCTCTACCATGATTGTCTCTAGCATGTTTGTCTCTACCATGTTTGTCTCTACCATGTTTGTCTCTACCATGTTTGTCTCTAGCATGTTTGTCTCTACCATGTTTGTCTCTACCATGTTTGTCTCTACCATGTTTGTCTCTACCATGTTTGTCTCTACCATGTTTGTCTCTACCATGTTTGTCTCTACCATGTTTGTCTCTACCATGATTGTCTCTACCATGATTGTCTCTACCATGTTTGTCTCTACCATGTTTGTCTCTACCATGTTTGTCTCTACCATGTTTGTCTCTACCATGATTGTCTCTACCATGATTGTCTCTACCGTGATTGTCTCTACCATGATTGTCTCTACCATGTTTGTCTCTACCGTGATTGTCTCTACCATGTTTGTCTCTACCATGTTTGTCTCTACCATGATTGTCTCTACCATGTTTGTCTCTACCATGATTGTCTCTACCATGATTGTCTCTAGCATGTTTGTCTCTACCATGTTTGTCTCTACCATGTTTGTCTCTACCATGTTTGTCTCTACCATGTTTGTCTCTACCATGTTTGTCTCTACCATGTTTGTCTCTACCATGTTTGTCTCTACCATGATTGTCTCTACCATGATTGTCTCTACCATGATTGTCTCTACCATGTTTGTCTCTACCATGTTTGTCTCTACCATGTTTGTCTCTACCATGTTTGTCTCTACCATGTTTGTCTCTACCATGTTTGTCTCTACCATGTTTGTCTCTACCATGATTGTCTCTACCATGATTGTCTTCACCATGATTGTCTCTACCATGTTTGTCTCTACCATGTTTGTCTCTACCATGTTTGTCTCTACCATGTTTGTCTCTACCATGATTGTCTCTACCATGATTGTCTCTACCGTGATTGTCTCTACCATGATTGTCTCTACCATGTTTGTCTCTACCGTGATTGTCTCTACCATGATTGTCTCTACCATGATTGTCTCTACCATGTTTGTCTCTAGCATGTTTGTCTCTAGCATGTTTGTCTCTACCATGTTTGTCTCTACCATGTTTGTCTCTAGCATGATTGTCTCTAGCATGTTTGTCTCTACCATGTTTGTCTCTACCATGTTTGTCTCTAGCATGTTTGTCTCTAGCATGTTTGTCTCTACCATGTTTGTCTCTACCGTGTTTGTCTCTACCATGATTGTCTCTAGCATGATTGTCTCTAGCATGATTGTCTCTACCATGTTTGTCTCTACCATGTTTGTCTCTAGCATGATTGTCTCTACCATGTTTGTCTCTACCATGATTGTCTCTACCATGATTGTCTCTACCATGTTTGTCTCTACCGTGATTGTCTCTACCATGATTGTCTCTACCATGTTTGTCTCTACCATGTTTGTCTCTAGCATGTTTGTCTCTAGCATGTTTGTCTCTACCATGTTTGTCTCTACCATGTTTGTCTCTAGCATGATTGTCTCTAGCATGTTTGTCTCTACCATGTTTGTCTCTACCATGTTTGTCTCTAGCATGTTTGTCTCTAGCATGTTTGTCTCTACCATGTTTGTCTCTACCGTGTTTGTCTCTACCATGATTGTCTCTACCATGTTTGTCTCTAGCATGATTGTCTCTAGCATGATTGTCTCTACCATGTTTGTCTCTACCATGTTTGTCTCTAGCATGATTGTCTCTACCATGTTTGTCTCTACCATGTTTGTCTCTACCATGTTTGTCTCTACCATGTTTGTCTCTACCATGATTGTCTCTACCATGATTGTCTCTACCATGTTTGTCTCTACCATGTTTGTCTCTAGCATGTTTGTCTCTAGCATGTTTGTCTCTACCATGTTTGTCTCTACCATGTTTGTCTCTAGCATGATTGTCTCTAGCATGTTTGTCTCTACCATGTTTGTCTCTACCATGTTTGTCTCTAGCATGTTTGTCTCTACCATGTTTGTCTCTACCGTGTTTGTCTCTACCATGATTGTCTCTACCATGATTGTCTCTACCATGTTTGTCTCTACCATGATTGTCTCTACCATGATTGTCTCTAGCATGTTTGTCTCTACCATGTTTGTCTCTACCATGTTTGTCTCTACCATGTTTGTCTCTACCATGTTTGTCTCTACCATGTTTGTCTCTACCATGTTTGTCTCTACCATGATTGTCTCTACCATGATTGTCTCTACCATGATTGTCTCTACCATGTTTGTCTCTACCATGTTTGTCTCTACCATGTTTGTCTCTACCATGTTTGTCTCTACCATGATTGTCTCTACCATGATTGTCTCTACCGTGATTGTCTCTACCATGATTGTCTCTACCATGTTTGTCTCTACCGTGATTGTCTCTACCATGTTTGTCTCTACCATGTTTGTCTCTACCATGATTGTCTCTACCATGTTTGTCTCTACCATGATTGTCTCTACCATGATTGTCTCTAGCATGTTTGTCTCTACCATGTTTGTCTCTACCATGTTTGTCTCTACCATGTTTGTCTCTACCATGTTTGTCTCTACCATGTTTGTCTCTACCATGTTTGTCTCTACCATGTTTGTCTCTACCATGATTGTCTCTACCATGATTGTCTCTACCATGATTGTCTCTACCATGTTTGTCTCTACCATGTTTGTCTCTACCATGTTTGTCTCTACCATGTTTGTCTCTACCATGTTTGTCTCTACCATGTTTGTCTCTACCATGTTTGTCTCTACCATGATTGTCTCTACCATGATTGTCTCTACCATGATTGTCTCTACCATGTTTGTCTCTACCATGTTTGTCTCTACCATGTTTGTCTCTACCATGTTTGTCTCTACCATGATTGTCTCTACCATGATTGTCTCTACCGTGATTGTCTCTACCATGATTGTCTCTACCATGTTTGTCTCTACCGTGATTGTCTCTACCATGATTGTCTCTACCATGATTGTCTCTACCATGTTTGTCTCTAGCATGTTTGTCTCTAGCATGTTTGTCTCTACCATGTTTGTCTCTACCATGTTTGTCTCTAGCATGATTGTCTCTAGCATGTTTGTCTCTACCATGTTTGTCTCTACCATGATTGTCTCTACCATGTTTGTCTCTACCATGTTTGTCTCTACCATGTTTGTCTCTACCATGTTTGTCTCTAGCATGTTTGTCTCTAGCATGTTTGTCTCTACCATGTTTGTCTCTACCATGTTTGTCTCTAGCATGATTGTCTCTAGCATGTTTGTCTCTACCATGTTTGTCTCTACCATGTTTGTCTCTAGCATGTTTGTCTCTACCATGTTTGTCTCTACCGTGTTTGTCTCTACCATGATTGTCTCTACCATGATTGTCTCTACCATGTTTGTCTCTAGCATGATTGTCTCTACCATGTTTGTCTCTACCATGTTTGTCTCTACCATGTTTGTCTCTAGCATGATTGTCTCTACCATGTTTGTCTCTACCATGTTTGTCTCTACCATGTTTGTCTCTACCATGTTTGTCTCTACCATGATTGTCTCTACCATGATTGTCTCTACCATGTTTGTCTCTACCATGATTGTCTCTACCATGATTGTCTCTAGCATGTTTGTCTCTACCATGTTTGTCTCTACCATGTTTGTCTCTACCATGTTTGTCTCTACCATGTTTGTCTCTACCATGTTTGTCTCTACCATGTTTGTCTCTACCATGATTGTCTCTACCATGATTGTCTCTACCATGATTGTCTCTACCATGTTTGTCTCTACCATGTTTGTCTCTACCATGTTTGTCTCTACCATGATTGTCTCTACCGTGATTGTCTCTACCGTGATTGTCTCTACCATGATTGTCTCTACCATGTTTGTCTCTACCGTGATTGTCTCTACCATGTTTGTCTCTACCATGTTTGTCTCTACCATGATTGTCTCTACCATGTTTGTCTCTACCATGATTGTCTCTACCATGATTGTCTCTAGCATGTTTGTCTTTACCATGTTTGTCTCTACCATGTTTGTCTCTACCATGTTTGTCTCTACCATGTTTGTCTCTACCATGTTTGTCTCTACCATGATTGTCTCTACCATGATTGTCTCTACCATGATTGTCTCTACCATGTTTGTCTCTACCATGTTTGTCTCTACCATGTTTGTCTCTACCATGTTTGTCTCTACCATGTTTGTCTCTACCATGTTTGTCTCTACCATGTTTGTCTCTACCATGATTGTCTCTACAGTCGACCTACCCTTATAACGATAACCTCTATAACGATATTACCCTTATAACGATATTTTTCTGGCAAACCAAATCACTCCATTGACTTGTGTATACAATGCCTTACCTCTATAACAATATTGCTATAACAATATTACCCCTATAACGATATAAAATGGGCTGACCAATCGACATTTTCCATTTTATAACAATATCTAGCAGGGGATATGTAGAGCCCACTACTATCCAGGTAGGGCAAGCTTCACTTGATAAGTCGCTGGGACATGACGAAATGCAATGGGGGCACCAGTAGGCGCCTTGCTGTGTACATAATGGGCATGTACGTCAGTGTTATGCTATAAAGAGTGTAAAAATGAACAAAATCCATGCATTATGACGTATGTGTATGAAATGAACCAGTTACCCTTATAACAATATTACCCTTATAACAATATTTATTGGTTTGACGCAAATATCGTTATAAGGGTAGGTCGACTGTACCATGATTGTCTCTACCATGATTGTCTCTACCATGTTTGTCTCTACCATGTTTGTCTCTACCATGTTTGTCTCTACCATGTTTGTCTCTACCATGATTGTCTCTACCATGATTGTCTCTACCGTGATTGTCTCTACCATGATTGTCTCTACCATGTTTGTCTCTACCGTGATTGTCTCTACCATGATTGTCTCTACCATGATTGTCTCTACCATGTTTGTCTCTAGCATGTTTGTCTCTAGCATGTTTGTCTCTACCATGTTTGTCTCTACCATGTTTGTCTCTAGCATGATTGTCTCTAGCATGTTTGTCTCTACCATGTTTGTCTCTACCATGTTTGTCTCTAGCATGTTTGTCTCTACCATGTTTGTCTCTACCATGTTTGTCTCTACCGTGTTTGTCTCTACCATGATTGTCTCTACCATGATTGTCTCTACCGTGTTTGTCTCTACCATGATTGTCTCTACCATGTTTGTCTCTACCATGATTGTCTCTACCATGTTTGTCTCTAGCATGATTGTCTCTAGCATGTGTTTACCTGCTAGAGCTACATCTATTCCAAGTTTCAAGATTGTTGCAATGCTCTTAATGCCACTCCTAAATGTGTGTGTGTGTGTGTGTGTGTGTGTCACTGTGTGTGTGTGTGTGTGTGTGTGTGTACACGTGTGTGTGTGTGTGTGTGTACACGTGTGTGTGTGTGTGTGTGTGTGTGTGTGTGTACACGTGTGTGTATGTGTGTATGTGTGTGTGTGTGTGTGTGTGTGTGTGTGCATGTGTGTGTACATGTATGTTTGTATGCATTGCAGGTGCATCACATCCGTGCCGGTGAAACCTTGATTCTTACAGTGGATGTAGAAATGGAATCCCGTGCTGAGCTCTTCGACAAGTGTATTTGGCAAGCAGATGTCTTCCTTGTAAGCTGCAGAACTGCACACTCCACGACAACCTTGCTCATGCTTGCACACTATGTGATTTGCTTGCACACTCTCTGATATGCGTATACACTCTGTGATATGCGTATACATTCTGTGGTATGCGTATACACTCTGTGGTATGCGTATACATTCTGTGATATGCTTGATTCACAACGTACTTGAAAGTGCATTCGGATCATTGTACTGTTTTTGGTTCTATGTTTTCCCCTGTGTTGCTTGTTTGCAGCGTGGCAAGTTTATCGAGTATGCGTACGAGGCTATTCGCGTATCGCCATTCTATGTACCGAGCAGCAACCCAGTGTCCGACGTACTCTTTGTCACCAATCAGCACATTGACCGACATCAGTTCTGTTTGTGGCAGCGCTTGCTGGAGTGCTTTCATCTGACAGTGGATTTCTGGGACACGGAGCGCTATCACGGCCTCTCCATGGACATGCGTACTGGGAATAGACACGAGGTAAACATCACCAACACCACCACTACCATCGTGTGCTGATGTTCTCTTCTCTCATATCCAACATTCTCTCTCTCTCTCTCCCTCTCTCTCTCCCTCCCTCTCTCTCTCCCTCTCTCTCCCTCTCTCTCTCTCACTCTCTCTCTCTCTCTCTCTCTCCCTCTCTCTCTCCCTCTCTCTCTCCCTCACTCTCTCTCTCTCTCTCTCTCTCTCTCTCTCTCTCTCTCTCTCTCTCTCTCTCTCTCTCTCTCTCTCTCTCTCTCTCTCGTCTTGTTATCTTCCAACTACTCTGCTTGTCTGTTACTGTCTGGATGTGTGCATGTGTATCTGTCTATGTGTCTCTGTATGTATATGTATGTATGTATGTATGTATGTATGTATATGTATGTATGTATGTCTATATGTCTACCTGTGTATCTGTCCGTGTGTCTGTGCGTGTGTCTTGTGTGCATGTGTCTGTCACAGGTTAGCTGGGTGGGTCGCTATGCCAGTCGTCTGATTCTCTACCCGCACGCCAATGCACAGCTCCTGCATCCCATGGACATTGCCCAGCATTTCTACGGCGAGACCTATCAACAACCCATTCCGATTGACATTGGATCTTCACTACTCATGCTGCTACCTGCACATGCCGACAAGGCACGGACGGCACTTGACTTCTGCCGTCACTCCTGTGTGGTCTCTAAGTCAGTGCCGATAGGCGAGACTGAGTATGCCGGCCGTCACTTGCTGCGTCCGACGGGCTCTGCCTGCATTGGCAAGCCGGCCTATCTCAAGTATGTGATAGGATTTCTAATCACATTTGCAATCATGATGTTCTAGATCAACAGTGCAGTGCATGGTATTGATTCCCTCTCGTTGTTGTGTTCTAGATCAACAGTGCAGTGCATGGTATTGATTCCCTCTCGTTGTTGTGTTCTAGATCAACAGTGCAGTGCATGGTATTGATTCCCTCTCGTTGTTACTGTGTGATCCGTGCTTTGGTGTCAGTGCTCCATCGGTACTCCACATCAGATTCAGTGTACAATGATTACGTGTGTGTGCGTGTGTCATTGCTACTACAGGTGGAATCCTGATAATTCGAACCTCCAAATGCCAGAAAAAACCTCTAATTATCCGGACATTCTAATTATCCAAACATGAACCCACAACACAATATGTATGTCAAAATGCTCTCATGGTCACGCAGAGTTGCGCTATGGACCTTAGACACAGATCTCACGGATACTGAACTGACAGGCACAGCCTGCTCATGCAAACTGAACTGACCAGTACAGTGTACAGTGAACTTCGAATTACACTTTGCTAACTTGGAATTATCAGCACAAATCCCACACATTTCCTATGTAAGTGGAATCCGTGGAACTACTGGACATGTCCGGTTTGAGGTTCGAATTATCAGAAAAATTTATGTGGGAATCGTATTGACAGAAATCGGTCCTGGAAAAACTTCTAATTAAGCGGTATGTTCGAATTAAGCCATATTCGAATTATCAGGATTCCACCTGTACTACTGAACTGTGTTGTGTTCTCCAATACATACCTGTAATGGTTCATGTAGTATGGTTGATGTCCTGCTGCAAAAGAGCATAGAATGTCATCATGCGGAACTACTCGTACTCGTTGTTCTGTCACTCTTGTGATCGTCATGTACTGATCATCATCATGTACTGATCATCATCATGTACTGATCGCCATGTACTGATCATTGCGTTTGTTCTCTTCTGCTAGGCGTGAGAAGCAGCTGCTGGAGAAGTTCAACGCGTCCGCACCCTTTGTTCACTACTTGTGCCAGCGAACACAGAGCTTCCAGAAGGCTGAAGGCTTCCTGAGGCAAGTAGTGTACAACTGTATGTGTTGTTGATGTCGGTCTTGCTGCTCACTACTTACCACACTGTACATGTACACAAATGTCAACAGTTTAACGACTGTCAATACTAAATACTTACCAGGCTCCAGGTGAAATGAACTGTGTTACCCAGGGATGCAGAAAAGAAAGATCTGCATATTTCAGATACCGTATTTCCGCAAATAAAAGGCTGTCCTCGTATACAACGCCTTCCTCGTATACAAGGCCGGGGCAGGGGGCGATTGAAAAAATAAAAGACCGTCTCCGATTAGAAGACCGGGCGTACTAAATGAGTCTTTGTTCTTGTGTTAAAAATGGAAGACCGTGCTCAAACTGTGGGAAAAAATAGAAGACCGTGCTCAAACTGTGTAGAAGAAAATGGAAGAACGGGGGAAAAATGTGTGGCGAGAAATAGAAGACCAGGGTCAAACTGGGTTGAAAGAATAAAAGACCATCATCGAATACAAGACCGTCCTCGATTATAAGGCCGGGTTAGGGCGAGGTTGAAAAAATAGTAGACCGGCCTACTATTTGTGGAAATACGGTATGTTGAAGGAAACCTAGAGGATGAATTGAAAGTGTTGGAATCCACAATCCAGAACAGCACTGCGTAGTACACTGGATAGTACAGCACTGCTGTACACTGGATAGTACAGAGGTTTAGCAAGACAAATTTCACGTTTGAGTTCACAAACACTTTTTGTTTGTGAACTGAATCGCAAACTTTTGCATTTTTCTTTCGCAACGCGGCCCAAGAGAGATGGTGCCCGGTCGGCTAATAAAGCCAGACAGCAACTGATTGACGCCGGCGCTTTATAGAATTGAAGCAATATTCTGTTTTAGATGAAAGTATCACATTGTACCATGGTCGGTACTCAATTATCATCACGCTGTTGTAAGAATAAGTCCTGTACATGTAGTATGCTAAATTCTACTTGTAAACTCTCATCTGGAGCGAGTGTGGAACATCGTATGGTTGTTGTTAGATATTTGCACGCATTTACTTGTAGAATGCAAGTACAATAATTATTGTCACAAACTAATGGTTCGCACCAAGAAATTGATTATATAGTCTTCTCTCCATCATGTTTTCTGAAGTATTTTACTTACCTTTGCTCCATAGCACGCTTACGACGTTTCCATGGCCTTCATGTATGGCACACGGCTTTCTGGCGTGTTATTTTCCTGGTGCTTGTCTCCACTTGTCGTTTTTGGGTCTTGGGTTCTTGCATTCCTTTGTCTAGGACAAGTTACAGTTTTTGTTCTGTAAAGATAACCCAAGATGCTCTCACGTTGCACCAAGTCACTGCAGTATTACAGTTGAAGTTTGTAAAGTCAGTCACAAGATTATTATTAACTTTTATTTTACTAGGGTGTTTCCCACAGGCCTATGGTCTTCTTACGGGAGCCCCTAAGATCCAGATGTAGTGCTCGGCTGACGGCGCAGGTGAAAAGCGCGATATGCACCTTCTTGGTGTCTGCTCCTTCTCTGATGAACAATGGCCCTGCGAAGTCCACACCGACGTAGCTGAGGGGGAAGTCCGCCTTGGCCCTGAAATCCGGCAGGGGAGGTGGATCTTCCGGAGCGTACGGCTTCGACTCGAGACGTCGACAAACTGTGCATTGGCCTACAATCTTTCGCACAAATTGCCGACAACGAATGATCCAGTAACGTGATCACTCAGCTTGGTTAATGTCTTCTTGACACCATTGTGACATACAGCGACATGAGCCTGCAGGACGGCTAGTCGTGTGAACGTATGATGTGCGTTCAGCAAGATCGGATGATGTGCGTTCAGCAAGATCGGATGATGTGCGTTCAGCAAGATCGGATGATATGCGTTCAGCAAGATCGGATGATGTGCGTTCAGCAAGATCGGATGTGTTTGATCGTGCGACAGTCCGGCGTTTTGCAGCCGTCCGCCACATCGTAGAACGCCACTCTCGTCGGTGAAAAGGCCGAACTCCTTAGACCAACCAGGGTACTTCTTGTCCTTGGACAGATCCTGTTGAGTGTTGACCATCCACAGTGTATGTGCTCTGTGGAGATCCTTCGCCGACAGATGTGTGGTCTTGCTGCGACGCTTCAACAGCTCTGTGAACTTCAGGACGTAAGCGGTCACACGCAGCAGTTTGCTTAGTGAACTGAAGCGATTCACATCGATGACCTTCTCGATGCTACTGTGCGAGGTGCAGCCAACTGCCATGACCGTGGTAGGTGTTGCTTTCCGCTCTCTCTCGACTTCTTCGCTCTGCGATATTGCTGAGCCGCTGTCGACTTCTGCTCGGGGTTGTGGCTCGTGTAGCCACTTCGGACCAGTGTACCAGATGGTACTGGTGAGCTCACTGGGCTTCACTCCTCGTGACGGCAGGTCGGCTGGGTTTGAAGATGTTGGGCAGTAGCTCCAGCAGGACGTCGGAACGAGGCGTCGGATCTCTGTAACCCAGCTCTCAACAAACTGCTTCCAAGTTTGCTCCACTCCAGCTATCCACGCCAGTGCCACTTGGGAGTCTGACCAGCAGTGAATCCAATATGCCACCACCCCCGCTGTGCAGCATCTGCTGGTACTGTGGTATTCAGTAAAAAAAATCTGATCTATCTTCACATTCTTCAGATCTGCCAACGTTGATGATCAGGCGAGCCAATACCAGTGCTGAAAGCAACTCGAGACGGGGAATGGTCTGTTGCTTCAGCGGCGCAACATGAGTCTTTGCAGCGATTAGCTGTACTGGCATGCCCACCTCTGTCATGAACACAATGTAGATTGCTGCTGCGTAGGCTCTTTCGGACACCTCACAGAATCCGTGTATCTCGACATGTGCGATATTGCCGTTCGCGTCCGTGGCGTAGTGCCGGGGCAGTTCGTCTTTCATTAGAGTGCAAACTCGAACGCGAAATTCGTCTTGCTTAACCTCCGTACTATATTACACTTGCTAGTTTGATAACGTTGTGCAGGTTGTTTGTGTGACGTTTGGTTTTGTAGATACTCGTATGGTCAGGTTGATATCCGTCGACTGCCGCTGGCTCGGCCGGCCAAACTTCATATCATCGAAGGTGTCTGCAATCACCCCATCAACGCAAGCTTCCTGGGAGCTGATGATACTGGTCACAAGTTACGAATGAGCGAGGTGCCCATCGGCTCCAATTTTGGCCAGGTGTGTGATGTGTGTTTGTAGGTGGGTGTTTGGGGGGGGGGGGGGGTGCGTATGGGTGTGTGTGTGTGTGTGTGTGTGTGTGTGTGTGTGTGTGTGTGTGTGTGTGTGTCCCATATGTTGCAGTGGTATGTGCAGCGATTTCCAATCGATAGGTTGCGGGTTCGATTCCCGACGATTATGGTCACACACGTCTTTCTTCTCTTTCTCAGACTCTTCCTGACTTTTCTTTCATTCTCCTGGGTGGTTACCAACAGCCAGTGCATGCCGGAGTATGTGGTGTGATGTGTGTGTGGGAAAAAAAAAAGAAAAAAAGAAAATAGGGATTCACTGGCCAGAAAAAGTCACTTCAGATAGCTGTATGGTGTAGACCAGGCTGATTAGTGACGGTCAATTCTTCAGCCTTGCAAGCTGTTGAATGGTGCAATCCCAGCACAAGTTCTGCTCTTATAACCAAGGCGGTGTGCTCTGGGCAGTTGACTTGGTTTTTTTTCCAATGTGCAAATGTGATCCTGATCCACTGTATCCACTATGTCCACTGTATCCACTGTATCCACTGTATCCACTGTATCCACTATGTCCACTGTATCCACTGTATCCACTATGTCCACTGTATCCACTATGTCCACTGTATCCACTGTTTCCACTGTATCCACTGTATCCACTGTTTCCACTGTATCCACTATATCCACTGTATCCACTGTATCCACTATGTCCACTGTATCCACTGTATCCACTATGTCCACTGTATCCACTGTATCCACTATGTCCACTGTATCCACTGTATCCACTGTATCCACTGTATCCACTGTATCCACTGTATGAACTGTAGTATACTTGAATAGTGTACATGTAAGTTAAAGTGACCAAGGTGTAGGTAGGTTAGTATTGCCTATCCATATTATTAATTATCATATGGATCATTTGTGCCCTATAAGGTGGTCTGTACTTATGTATTCAGTTGTCTTATGCTGGAGGGAATACTTGACACGTGACGTTGCATCTGTACAACAACGATTTCATTGCCTTCGTATACATTGTACTTGTTCGCTTTTGTGAATAAGTAGAATACACCCTTCATGTAGTTGCAGTGCATACATGCATCTGTTTGGATCAACTCCCGGTCATTGAATGTCTTGTCTGTAGTACATGTTGTGTACATGCAGTGTGTGCTGCTACTGTGGTATACGATGTGCTGCTACTGTGGTACACGATGTGCGCCTGTACTGGCAGAAGTGTTGGTTCACTAGCTCTGAAGTTCTCACTTTTGCACTTCTTGGTTCTTTGGTTGTTGTGTTGCAGGCTATGATTGCGGTGGTAGCATGTTTGCCTGTGCCACTGAAGCTGTCCATCATGTTAGGCAACAGTGGTGGAGCTACGGGTGAACAGTGGAGACTGCACCTTGCTAACGGGGCTTCTCTCATGCTCGATGAAGTGGCAGCGGTGTGCCTGCAGGACGATCTCATCTCCGAACTGGAGGGTGCCACCACTGTGAGTGAAGCAGTGAATGCAACACACACACACACACACTCAGTGTGTCGGGATTCACCCATTACTCACCCATTACTCACCCATTACTCACCCATTACTCACCCATTACTCACCCACACCTCCATCAAAACACTGCTCAATACAATAATGCAACGTGAACAGTATGTGTGTGTGTGTGTGTGTATGTGTGTGTGTGTGTGTGTATGTGTGTGTGTGTGTATGTATGTGTGTGTATGTGTGTGTGTGTGTATGTGTGTGTGTATGTGTGTGTGTGTGTGTATGTGTGTGTGTGTGTGTGTATGTGTGTGTGTGCAGTATACATGTACATACAACACGGTACACTCAATCAATCTGCGGACAGAAATGTTTCGTCCTTTGTGGACTCATCAGCGCAGCACAGAGAAAATGAGGCCGAACCTGATAGCAATGAAAAATGAACTTTCCAAAAGCCAGTACATGTATACTGCCCTTTGCCACTTTGAAGTAACATAATTATCACTAAAAACATGGTTTCAGAGCAGACTCGCTCTCTTCCCATTCACTCTGCAAACTCGAACTCATTTGATCAATTTTTTACAACGTTTCGGCAAAATTGCCCTCATCAGGTAATGAGTTCGAGTTTGCAGAGTGAATGGGAAGAGAGCGAGTCTGCTCTGAAACCTTTTTTTATGAATGAAGCTGCAGGAAGCCTCACCACTGCTACTATAATTATCACTGATGGTTCTTTGATGGTCTCTGTCTGTTGGCTTTGTGCTTCAGGACTTGTCACGAATGCAAGAGTTTGCTGCAGAAATCTGCACCTCGCCTGCACAGTATGGTTCAAGCTCAGCTGTCAATACTATCTGTCGTATCATAGCAGTTGTCGAGGCAGAGGCGAACAAACTGATCAAGCTAAAGCGCCTGGGTGTTTCAGATTTGTTCAAGCAGTTTTCTACCCATGCCAAGGGAGTCTTGGCTTCCCTCAAGGCATCCATTGTGAGTCACTGAGGTTACGCCTCGCATTGTTGGATGTGTGCATGGTTGTGTGTGTGTTTGTGTGTGTGTTAAAAAACCTGGCTAGAGGCTATGGCCTACTAGTATGTATGGGCTGGCAGTACCTGTGCTGAGTACAGTCAACTTCGCTAATAACGACTGCGGATATAGCGACAATTCGCGAATAACGACAGACTTTTCATGCCCAGAGCAAAGTCCCATCTGACTGTATACATATAATGAGACTTCGGGTATAAGGACGCTTTGCGAATAAGGACACTTTTCTGATGCCCCGCCGAGTGTGGTTATTGGCAAAGTTGACTGTATGTGTAGCTGCCCTGTCAGGAACCACTTAGATCTCAACTAGAACACTTGCTGTTTGTACCAACTACAAAATGCACACGTGTGCATATATAGTATTGCACGCCCTCAGCCAGACATTCTCCTGTAATAAGGAAGGTTCTACAGTACGAAGACATTGAACATGGTTTTATGTGTATGTGTGTGTGTGTGTACATGTGTGTGTGTGTGTGTGCATGTGTGTGTACATGTGTGTGTGTGTGTGTGTGTACGTGTGTGTGTGTACGTGTGTGTGTACGTGTGTATGTGTGTACGTGTGCACGTGTGCTTAGGACAAACAAACACTGCGCGATGCACGTGATGCTGCCGATCGCCTGGTTGCATCCGGCAAGGGCTACCTCATGCTCAACATGTTGCTGGATCAAGCTCGCCATCGTCAATGTAACCGACGTATTGATCTGACAGCTTCTGACCTCACAGTCACGCAAAGCTTTTACTAAGATCTCTACCCATCACCTAGTGTTCAGCTGTATCTGCTCTTGCAGCTATCAGAGGTTCTTTGTAGCGGTGGCACACGTGGCAGCTAGGATAACGTAGCTCAGCCACTATCCAATATACCTACTGAAGGTATTGTCTGCAGGATGTAGTCCCGCTCTTGTGTGTGTGTGTGTGTGTGTGTGTACGCGCGCGCGCATGTGTGTATGTGTGTGCACGCGCATGTGTTTGGGTGGTGTGCGTTCGTTTTGGTTTGTCGTGAATCTGATATTTTTCCTTTGTCCGCATTCTCTAGCTTATTAGTATTTTGGTTTATTTTTCTATTTTCTCTTTCAGGTAGTGTACATGTAGGTTGGTGGTTCCTTCTCCAAACAAATCTCCTTGTTTTCCTAATCTTGCATCCCATCTCGCTCATGTGATCTGCAAAGTTGTTTGATTATTGTCTCCTAGGTACTGTGTTAGGTTTTTATTGTTGCAGGCTATGTCACAGACCATGTTGTACTACTACTTGCAGAGCACTGGTCTAACTGACAACAAAGTCCAGTGTCATATTCTGAATAACATACAAAATGCCTGTGTCGCTCTGCCCTTGCTTATTTTGCCTTTTTTATTCAAAGCTTTATCCCTAGGATGTGTGTTTCCTGCAGCACTTCTATCTAACTTGTTCTCCACACTACTGTCACTAGTCTAGGGTTTCTGTAAGTCTGCTGCTGAGATGAGCTGTAGCAGTGTTAGCCAGTATTTTTTCTTTCTTTCTTATTTTACTAGGGAATTCCCAACAGGCGTCATCGCCAGTAAGGCAGTAACACACATGTGGACCATGGGTATTTTAGTAATGTTTTTGGCTGGCCAAACGCAGTGCAATTCTTTAGCTGCTTACATTTAGCATCCTCTTTTCACTTTTGACTTCCATCCTATCCACAGGTCTACAGTGTAGCGATGGTAGACGCAGTACATGTAATTACATGTACTTGCTTGTTTTCTTTAGGTTTTCTGTCCCTTCCCTACCAGTGTTGTGGTGTTGCTGGTGACACGTAATCTACAAATCAATGTACTTTCCCACTGAGGCTAAATTCTTTCCATGCTACAGATCTGTCATGTTTTTATTGCACTGTGTGGAACACTGCATCTTACACATCATAATTGGATGGACAGGTCGTCCCAATCCAATACATGTATTACAGAACAACCGTCACTGTTCGCTCTTTTTTAAACATTTTTTTTTACTTTTTTTAGTTTTGACATCCGTATGTACATGTGCAACATTGTTTTCAGTAAGTTTTGCCCATACAAGAGGCTTTTCTCTCTGAAAAAATCCAATAAGCAGGACGTCGGCTCAAGAGTATAGATCAGTGTTGGCAGTGCTGGAGGGATGTGTGCTAGCCAGTACTAGGCAGTAGGGTTGTATGGTGCATGCTGAGCTACTGCTGTTTTGTTTATCGGAGAGAGTTTCACAGGCCAGAGCTACAGTAGCATGTACACGTCACACCCATGCAGTTACCAGCCACAGTACACAACACACACACAGTACACAACACACACAGTACACAACACACACGCGCACAGTACACAACACACACAGTACACAACACACACGCGCACAGTACACAACACACACGCGCACAGACATACACACACTAGCTTGTACTTGTTGTTCACTGCCAAAACTGGTTACGTGGGTCTCCCCGGAAGATTGGCTATTGAACCGCCCAACGGCCCACGTCCCCCCCCCCCCCCACACACCTTTTCCAATGCCATGACTGGCTAATGTGGCCGGGAAGGGGGGTATTAGGCCCATATGGGGCAGACCAGGAGGTGTGGGAATGTCGGACTCATTGTGCACAGACTGCGCGAACAGCGTTACACTTATGCATCGAAAAATCTTGTTGACGTCGAAAACTGCGTTCACACGTATCACATGGCTTTTATACAGCCAGTAACAGGGACAGCATGATAGCGTCACGGCAGGTAACCCGCCGGCCTGATCCTGGACAATGGTACTGAGCTGCTGGTCCAGAAGGACACCAACAGCCACCAAGTCGGTCATCGCTGTGTCCTTCCAGGGCTTACGGGGTCCGTGCAGCTGATGTTGGGACGGCAACGAACCACACAGCAGCTGACGAGGAGGGATACAGTCTGGCATTCGGGATACGTGACCAAGTCACCAAAGTCAGTAGACTCAGGTATTCAATTTGCCGTCCACGTCAACCAAAGTCCTGACGTTCCACATCCCCATGGACAGCACAAATCTCCGAGTTGCTGGTGCACGTTGCGAGCTAAACACTAAGCGGGGGTTTGCAGGCGAACGACTCGAGTGGCCACATTGGAAGTGACCATCGTGTCAACACTGATTTATTCCTCGGCCGCAACGGCAAGATGTAGGTCGTCCTGCTCAGCGCAACCTATCGTATGTTCTAGCTACCCAGGCTGGCTCTGCCCAAAAACTACCTGTAGAAGGCAGAGGAAAAAAAATCTGTCACTTATTTCAACTCAACTCACACACACGCACATACACGATAAACACACAAAGCCGCAGACACATACTCCAGACGTTATGAGAAGAGAATTCTTTAAAATATAAGGTAGGAAAGAAAGGATTCCGCGGAGGAATCAAGATAGGCACTAGCGAACACCTGTGCACCAGATACCAGTGAAAAGTAACACGCAAATCAGGCACTGTGAAGTAGCATGAAATAAGCAGAGAATAGAGAACACAGTCCACCACACTCTCAGTGAGAACACAGCACACAGACCCTACAGAGCGACAGACAGGTGCACTAGCAACGCCAAACGGAAGGCAAGCGCGGGCCAGGACTTGGCAGCACACATACACGTACCGGTACACACACACACACACACATATATACACACACACACACACACACATATATATACGCGCGCACACACACACACACACACACACACACACACACACGCACACACACACACACGCACACACACACACGCACACACTCATATATACACACGCACACACTCTCACACACACACACACACACAAACATTCATACACACACACACACAGCAAGTTCCGCTCGATATATAGGCCGAAAGCGAAGGGCGCAGAGGAGGGAGGACACATCAGCTCAGCAAACTAGCACAGCATAAAAAAAACCTAGTAGACAAAATATAATAGACTTTCAATACATGGACTTGAGGCAGTTGCATATTTCACAAACGTATCCAAAAGGGAGTCTTTCAGTTCCAGTTATATTATAAACTTCCTAAATTTGATGGTTCGGAAGGCACGCGAAATGAGATCACGAGTATTCTCATGTTTTTCAGAATTTCCCTAGTTTTATGACAGCATTAGGAGTTTTCATGATGAGTATGACGTTAATTGTACATGGCTGGATTAGTCTTCAAGCACTAGGATCAAGCCAGAGTTTACTAGACACCGGAAAGAGATGATGCACGGGAGAATAGCCTCATGTTGACCATGGCTGATGCCGCAACATCATTCTTGAATGTAAGGATACGGCAGTAGGGCAGATCACTACCTGGGGGTAGCTATGTATGAGAGGAGAAGTGGACTAGCAGGACACGAGAGGAGAGGGCTGGAAGGACTACTCTTGCAAACTACAAGTTCTGGGTCCACTTACCGATAGCTACTACTACTACGGCAGGCTGCTGCTGCTGTAATTGTGGGACGCAAGTACACATTGCGTTTGAGCGTCTTCGTCATACATTAAATGCGGACAGGTCCTGCTCAACTTGGCTTAAGTCTACAGTAGGCAATTGTCCTACGAGATCTGTAGGTTGCAATGCCATAAGCGACACGGCTTGCGACTGGTCGCATGCGGCATTCTCCACCAATGTTACAGAAGCAAATACTGCAGGTGGCTCTTCTTCTGCACTGGTTGTTAATGATGACATCTGTTGAGTCAAGTCCAGTAAGCCATCATCAGCTACTTGTACTATTACCCACACTGTGTCACCAAAGAAAGTACCATCCGCCATGCACATTCTCCATTCGCTGCAATAATGTCCGCTATCACGTGGAGCGAGCATAGAAATTCGAACGTCAGCCATGACGTTCCTGCCCAATGGGGGCATATTGACCCTAGTGCAAGGGCCTATGCTATCACCCCGAACAAAAGTTAGGTAACAACCCTCTGGCCAACTGCTGATGCCATTGTTGCGCAATCGCCATAGCTTGGTAAACAGCTTCTCCGGAGCAACTGACTCTCCTTCGCCAACCGTCATATCAGCCAACAATGCCATGCTGGGCAGAGACTCGCTTTTAGCCTGGTACTCGAAGTAGGCACCGACAGCATTTTGTAGATTCCAACTGTTCATTTCTAGGAAAAACACACAGCTCTGCTTGTCCACGTTCCCACCGACATAGAATTGAAAATCTTTGACCAGTACTTCACGATCAGTGGTTCCCATTGCACTGAATTGTGCAAGGAGTTGAGCATCCATTCTGAGCTTGCTTTATATCGTACCAACCAGGAATTCGAACACGAAGCTCTCACATGTGCACAGCTTCAGTTCAAAATAATGTTGATCTTTAAAGCTTTATACGCAAAAATATCACAACATTGCCGTAGCAACACCGTACCGTACCATCACATGCGTGCACACCTCCAATCCAACCAAGCAAAAACAATTTTTAATTTACTGATCCTAGCACAAACAAACACTGCTCCTCTTCACGTGTGCTTGTTGTGTGTGGAATCTGGATTTTCTTACTCATTTTGCAGTCTTTGTACTTTGTAGGTAGCTTTGCCTTCTTGTTTTGCATGCCCTGCACTGCCACGTGTCGTCCCGCGTCCTTGTTGTAGATCTCTACGTGTCAGATCTTGAGCGCATACTTTTACTTACTTCAAACGTCACGTTGAAACCAGGCCAGCTCAGATCATGACCATGATCTGATGACAGCTAGCCGCGGATCTGGATCTACACTACGAGGTGATTCGTAATTTTTTAACATTGCGTCATTTCTTAACAAATCGGTAAAATATCTCATTGCCAGCGCCTGCAAAGAGTCACGTCAAATTTCTTTTTGCCATTGCCATTATCAATGTTCTGTCAAGTTCGCCTCCAAAATTGAGACTGATATTCCTTCAGGAAGTGACATTGCAAGAGCTTTCAGTCTGCATGTGCGCGATGTTTACGATAAAATAGAGTATAAGAGAGTCATAGCCGCTGGTTTCAACCTCCAGTGACAATATATTTAGCTGAAAAGGAAGCACATGATAGATACATACTGGAAACGACGCCCGGGAAGGAGGAATGGGGTGTGTTGGCCCTGGTAATGGCCAAACATTGGCCATTACTGAATTTACTAACAGATGTTGATCACAATTGCATATTATCCATATAAAAATCGCTCTGTGAGCGGTTCTGAAAAACCTTTACTGGTACTGCCCCGTCGTAAAAGTAAGAAATTAGAACTGGCCCATTGTCCCCCCAAATGCGAACTGATCCACCTAAATCGCGAATGACGGGACCCGAACGCACCAGTAGCACGAGGTCGGGAGGGCACAGGATCACGGCAATTATCATAGGGTAACACCAGTAGTAGCAGTAGAATTTATTATTATGATAGGGAAGCCTACCGCTAGTACAGTACATGGCCTATGGTCCGGACCAACGTCCCCATCTGCATCCACAGGTAGGAACCTCGTGCTACTGGTGCGTTCGGGTCCCGTCATTCGCGATTTAGGTGGATCAGTTCGCATTTGGGGGGACAATGGGCCAGTTCTAATTTCTTACTTTTACGACGGGGCAGTACCAGTAAAGGTTTTTCAGAACCGCTCACAGAGCGATTTTTATATGGATAATTTCAGCTCTTTTTCCGTTCCGCCTCCCCACCCCAACTACACAAACATGTGTATGCACACGGCACACACACGTGGCCACGCACACATACGCACATGCACACGACACAAACAGGAAATTCTTCATGTATAATGCCATGCAAAGCAGTGGCCACCGTACTTGAGGAAGTCAGTTGTGAAACAAAAATAATTCAACTACAGCGTGTATACAAGCTGACGGCCAAAGCACAACATAGCAAACATGACATTTGCCCAAGGATTGTAGTTTGCAGACCATGCCATGGAAGCAGCGAATACAGAATGTAATATCATACAAAGTGACAAGCAAGGACGTGGCCATCATACACCAGAAACTTGCAGAAAGTCACATATCCAACAGATAGAGAAGTGAACAGCAATCTGATACAGCCCACACAGGACAAAGCGGACCTGATACTCGTCCCAGGATTGCAAGTGGCAAACCCTTTTCAATGCATAACATGCAGGTGTACGTTAGACGCATGGACATCTGACCGTGTCGCCAGCATACAATGTCATCACATGTTTACCCCACAAGTTACACACATGCACAGTAGAAGCACAATGAAAGCAATGGAAAAGTACGATGTGGTTGCTGAAGCATCTTCACACTTCAAATTCAGACTTCAATGTGGTCGTCACGGGATGATATACCTGCAAGATACAAGTGATGAAGAAAGAAAGCAGAAGGTCGTGAGGTAGGCTATGAGACACCACAAACGGTTCACCTACATGTCTGTTCAGGGCTAGTGCACTCACACGCAGAATTGTCATAATCGAGCATTTCCCAAACTGAGAAGTGCAATGAAATCCACTTGCATGCACAGGAGCAATTTTGCAATATTATGATGCGCAATTCGACACGATCTGCGATGCTGTGTGCGATGTGCCCTGCTGTCTTGATAGTGACAGTCACCGCCGTATGTTTTGTCAGCGTCGCCCGTGCACTCTACTGTCAAGTCCAAAGTGCTCACATACTTGGCAATGTTTTTGCAGTGATTAACTTTTATCCTAGTTATGTCACGGGTAACTTTAATGAAGTACCCGCAGGCCGTGTCGATCTGCACATCGTCCACTCTCTCATGTACTTGGCCTGCTTTGTCTGTGTATCCATTTCATGTGCGATCCACAAAATCGACTAGACAGTGGGTGCAATACGCTCTCTACCTGAAGACGTTCTTCTGGCGACATCTCGCCATGTACTTGGCCTGGCTTTGTCTGTGTATCCATTTCATGTTCGATCAACAAAATCTCAATGCACTACAGAGACTAGACAGTGGGTGCAATACGCTCTCTATCTGAAGACGTGAACCATTAAATTTTTTGGAAAAGTTATACGTACACCTGAAACGTAATGAACTACAGGAATAGAGAGAGTGACTACAATACGCTCTCGACCTGATATAGTGATAACGTGAGTACAAGACACTCTCCACCTGATAACGTGTTAGAAGGTAACATGTCTACAGTCCCACCGTACCCTTCCGACACGACTGTAGACCATTAAATTTTTTTGAGAAGTTATACGTACACCTTAAACGTAATGAAGTACAGGAATGGAGAGAGTGACTACAATACGCTCTCGACCTGATAACGTGAGTACAAGACACTCTCCACCTGATAACGTGTTAGTAGAAGGTAACAGGTCTACAGTCCCACCGTACCCTTCATCATTCCTCATTCACCATCGCGCGATACCCTGGCACACACTGGCAACATATCAATGGGGTGCCTTACCGTCGTCTAGAGGAGACGTCTTCGCAGCAATATTTTCCCTCCTGCGCATTCAGTCGCCGACGCGACAGCGTTCACGGGGCCGTTCCAGCTGCGGAAGACATTCGATTCATCGGGCCAATTCAGCAACAGGGCCGTGGACACACAGGGGGCAGAAGAGAGACATTGTTAGTGGAAAAGAAATATGCAGTGGCAAGTGGCGAGTGCCGCATGGATGTCAAGTTGTCATGCACAATTCAGCTATTACTTACGGTCCAGCTAGTCCTGCCATTGCTCGCTCGTCCTAGTTCCTCCTCGTTCGTCTTCCTGCACGTCTGCACTTCTCCTTCCCCACCGTTGGCTTTGCGGTACGGGGGTGCCGGAAGGAATTCCCACCATGTATCCATGTACATGAAGTCCCACCATGACTCTCCATGTACATGTCCACGGCCACGTCAGCAGTTTGTATAGTACCGGAAGGAGTTCCCACGATGTCTCCAAAGGCCTAGAGCGGACGTCTTTGCAGCAATTCTTTTCGCCCTGCGCATTCGGTTCGCCGACGATGTCTCCAAAGGCAAAGGCCTAGAGCCTAGTAGAGGGGACGTCTTTGCAGCAATTCTTTTCACCCTAGCAGGGAGTAGTAAAATACAGGGAGGTGACACGCCACTAATCGTGATTTTTGATGGGTGCCTCGCGCTTGTTTTTTTTTCTTTCGCAAAAAAAGATGATCTGCTGAATCAATCTTGAGTATTTGTTGAAGAACTAATTCTGTGAAAAGGCCTATCCATCTCATGGAACAGCATTTGTTTTGCTCTTGTGATACATCTGTGTCATCGTCATATGTAAAGGTACCACCCTTCCGAAATTCGTCCCGATCGACGGCATGGAGCAATAGAACGAAGGTGATTTCCTTGAGAACAATACGTGTACGATTGGAGATGAAAAGCGAGTGCACCGATTTCGAAGTCGAAAAAATCTCCAGGACACCACATGATCGGCACTAATTTCTCCTCAGTTGTGATCAACCAGTACTTCTCTACCTTCTTTGTGATGATGAGCATTTCATATTATGGTATGCTAGAGATTCGGGAGTTCACTTTTCGGAATGAAATGTTCCTAAGTTTGTCAAGGATTGAAATGCGGGCTACGTCGTCGTAAACAGCTTGTATCGATACAGGAAAAATCTACGGCACGCAGGGATATCTCCCAAAGTGATACCACTCTTGCTGGACTTCTATCCTGACATAGTGGTAGTTTGGTCGACTACCAAACTTTGTGAAGGCAGACAATTGTTGGAAATTCTCAGCGCTGAGTTTCTACGGGTTGCAGTATGAGTCCCTTTGGCGGTAGGTATTTTACTACTCCCTGATCAGGAGAATCCTGATCCGCGCGCGTGTCTACACACTTCGGTACCCATAGTACCCCAATCTCACCCGCCGGGTGAAAACGGTGTCAAACTGGCCGTACATGCTCGTGTCACCTCCCTGTATTTTACTACTCCCTGACCCTAGTACCCTGCACATTCACTCCGCCGACACGACAGCGTTTACGGGGCCGTTCCAGGTGCAAAAGGTCCACGTCAGCAGTTCTCAACTATTTCGCGTACGGGATAGTCGCCGCGACAGCGTTTAAGGGGTCGTTCCAGGTGCACAAGGTATCCACCAATGGCACTTTGCAGTATGGGGTACGGAAAAGGGACCTCCTCGTTCGACTTCGTCGACTTCTGCAGTTCTCCTTCCCGTCAGGGGTACCGAAAGGGGCCTCCTCGCAGTTGTCCTTGCCGTCAGGTCCACGTCATGCAATTCTCAACTATTTCGCGTACGGGATAGTCGTCTTTGTCGTACGCGACATCGGCGTTTACCGAGTGGCATTGGCACAAAGCAGACCGTTGACGGGGTCACGTGTCAAAAAAGTATCAACAACGTGTCGACTACGTGTCGACCACGTGTATAGCGGTACACTCAGCGGTACACTAATTCTCGTGCCATTCTCGTGTCACAAAACTGGAACATCGAGTACCAGTATGGAAAGGCTTCAGACAGGAAGCCTTTCCAATAAAATCAGGGTGATACACCTACTGCTATCAGGCAAGCTTGAATGGCTTGTATTTGGATCAACATGATCTTGATCCAGTCATGCTGGACCATCCTGGATACGTAGGGTCTCTTTCTATTGAAAACTGACTTGAAATTGTACTGCTAAGGCTTATTTTACCATGATGTTAAGAAATGACCACAACAAATAATATGCGGAAAAATTGCCATTTTTCAACTGCCCCCTGCTTCCCAACACCAAGGATTATGTGCATGAACAACCCACCATTGCAATCTAAGGACATCAGTATTACATTTTTGGAGGAAGAAATGGAAAGATTCGCACCTCGAACCCTACGGAAGACTTTTTTACTTTCGTGTTAAATAATGACGAATCACCTCGTAGTCGCTATCACTACCACAAAAAGGCCGGGAGTCCACAAAATACCGGTATTTTCTACGCATTTTTCTACTGACACACACAAACTACCATGGCAACCTACGTTTCCCGTATGTCACGTGATTGTCGCCTTGGAGTCGACCAATGACAGATCAAACTGCACGGGCTGGAAAGTGCGGTCCTGCCTGCTCAAAGCCTGACAAAGGTGATGGAACTGGATCCACTGCCCGTCGTCAAGTGACGACGGGCAGGAACAGAATCCACTTCGTTCATTGGCTCACGAACTTGGCGCGTGTTTCGTAAATACAAGGACAATGGAAAGAGCGACTAACTCTTTATGTACATGATTGTATGGTGTGAGCGTGCATGCATGCTCTTTGGCTTGGCTGCACACGGGAAACACGTTCCAGTCACCATGGTCACTCATAGTCATACTCGGCCAGTACCGCTGTCCATCCAGCCCTTGCCCAGTACCGCTGTCCATCCAGCCCTTGCCGCTATCGGGGCTGGATTCCGCGGTACTGCCCTCGTACTCGTGCAGGAACCTGTATGTCACACATCACGCGCACGGTACACATGACCCGACTATGTTCAAGAGTACTAGTAGTGCCCAGTGGTTATTGTACTCTTGCTAGTACATAGCAATAAGAGTACAAGTAACATTACCCCTATGACGTACTCTAAAGTCTCTTTCTTGATAATATTATGTTGACGTAGACTATTATGTCTTTAGGCACCCAGGATGGCAGAGGTCGTATCTGTTCACGGGGGAGACAGATGAATCCCGGGATCACGTCGGGGTCACCAATTTAGGCACACATGATGGCAGAGGTCGTATCTGTTCATGGGACATACCACCCTGAGGCCTAATAAATACAATTCCGGGCCGAGGAGAGGGCAACTTCGTCTAATAGTTGTTGTTCATTTTAGAACAAAGAGAAAGACAGGTTTCATGCGCATGCGTATCTAGTGAGGGAGCTGACGTCATGCAGCGAGGTTGCTACATGTCTATGCAGCTGCCGTAGCTGTTGGCTGCCTGTTTGTCGTGTTGTCTCAACTAACTTGTCTGCAAGGACTCGGGAGCTCTACGCGTCCCGGTATCAAGAGACAAGAAGCGTGAAAAAAGCTCAGCATGCCTGGGAGCTGACGGTATGTCACTATGTGTAGGGCTCCCCGGTCTGACTCAGTGACTATCGAGTCATGTACCGTACTACTGGTATCACTTGAAGAGAATGTAAAGGAAACGCCATCATCATCATCATCATCATCATCATGGTATGGGCCTCCGTCAGGAAGTCGTATAAACCCTAAGGGGCCTGGCTTCCATTGTAACACAATGGCAGCACAATTTGCTGCACCAACATACTGATGAAGCAATCAAATATCACCCGAATTGAAAAATAGAAGTCAGTCATACCCTGAGTGCGGTGACAGTTGTAGATGTACCGTGGTGTTCTTGTGTGGTATACGTCATGTAACAATAATTATAATTATACCGGTATGATAGCATTGCCTGACACAAGGAAGCAGCAAGGCTCTCTGCCGTCTGGTCAAGCACTGGTAGTACATGTACTGCTAATAACAGTATAACAGTACTTTGAAGTATGTACATGTACTAGTACCTGTATCAGCTGTTACCATGGCATTGCCACAGTAGCAGTAGCAGTAGAACTGCATGGGAATGTCCGGCTGAGAGGCAACTCACATCATTGCTGGAGTACTACAGTCAGACCTCGCTTATCCGGTCCTCTTTTATCCGGATCCCTCGCCATCCGGAAGAAAATCCCAGCTTACCGATTTACAGCATATGCTATGCAGACATACAGTATGTGTGTTCGATTATCCGGTTCCCTCGCCTCTCCGGATATTTTTGTCGAAAACGGATGTGTGCGGTTATGCGAGGTCTGACTGTACAGTCATGTACATGTACCTTGTTACAGTGAAATAGAAATAGGATCAGATGCTGGTCCCTTTCTACCACCGTAGTCAACTGCTTGTATTCTGTAGGAAACCGATGCCGATGCGGCAGCCATCTTCTCCACATCGCTAGCACTCAACGCATGGATGAATGATGACGAGATGAGTGGCTGTGCGGAGTTAGCTTGCGAGTAGGTGCCGGTGGGACCGCTAGTGGAATACATGACTTGGTAGGTGAACAGACAGCGCACGTCAACACCATGCCAGGTCACTAGCACTTCTGATGATGTCACATTGTGCAGCCACAATCCGGTTACCTACATGTAGGTGACGGCAGCAAAGTGAAGACAAAAAAAAGAACCCATTGCAAATACGCATACTACTCAATGCAAGACCACTGTACTATACGCTGTATGTGACCTGCCGTATTCCCTTGTTGTGCGGCAGTTGCGCTCGAGGATCAGTTTGCGCCTTGTGCGGTGGCAAATTACCTGCCTTCGTGGTGCCCGTGCGTCCTACCTCAGGAGGCATGCTGGTGGCGGTGCCCGTAGCTTTGTCATGGAGTGCCGGGCCCGTGCCCATCTTTTGACCTGACTATGACCGTCAATGTTCTTTTCACATGGACCGATTTTATTTATTACTTCACTATTCAAACAGGATCCATTCTTGCTGTTGTTCTTGTTTTGTTGTTGGTTGAATGTTCTACTTTGATTTGCTGTGGAAACGTGATGACTGTGTCTTATCCATGTTTGAGTGGGGTCTATTTGATCGCTTTTTAGTGGTTTCTATTTCATGCTTTTCAGTGTGTGAAACTTCATTCACTCTTTTTCTCTTTCTCTTTCTTTTTCTTTTTAGGAAATTAGGTGTTTCTTGCATACCTTCATTTGCTGTTGCTTTATGCCTTCTTTTTGACGGTTGCTGTTGCTAATTAGGATTGGAATAAAACGATTCGTACACTGTAGTATACGCTGGTGGAAGGGCATAATGACCCAGCACGGTACAGTGGATGGGCTGCATGCAGTGCAGCACTTGCGCACAAAGCTACCGCGGGTACTTACACAGCGTGCAGGTGCCGAAAAGAGTTGCAATGACGGCGGTCCACCATAGAACTGAGGATCCCTACGACCGCGTTGCCACGTAAACAGCCGCTAGTGCCTCAGTCTGTAATGCCGCCATCTTATTTTACAACTTGTGAACAATAGGCGTTTTCGAAAGACGGAATACATGCACTCAGCATTTCTCCCTGTGCATGCAGATCTATGATGTCATTGATGTGTGTGTCATGTCGTAAGTTGTAACTGACCTATGGTGCATGCAGATCCATGATGTCATCAAGAGTATAAAATCCCCCAAGAGTGTGCGGCGAAAACTCACATCACGTGTCTCAGGTACGTTTCGTACTACGTACAAACGAAGGATAGTGTGCGCGCAATCCAAATATCTGCCATGATCATGCTGGGGATTTGCATATGCGCAGTTAGTTTCTGTCAGAGTGTGCTTTTTTTTATTACTCCACTGCTGGCTAAAAATGGGCTGTAAACGTACAACTGCGACACTACACCACGTGATGTGAGTTTTCGCCGTCGGCGAACCCCATAGAAAGGGTATCAGGAGTTGCACACTCTTGGGGGCTTATATACTCTTGATGTCATTGATAAGCGTGTGCCTTGTTGTAACTGACCTGTGGTGGAGGACTGGCTGCCTGCTGGCAGACGTGCAGTACTGTCACTCCGGGCATGTCCAGGGTGAATGACAGGTCAATACGCCCTTCCACAGCCATCTTGGAACGGTGGTCGGCAAGGCCAATGCTCTGTGACTGGGGCTCTTGACACGCACGCATTCGGGCGAGTAGATCCTTGGTTGGGTAGTCTGGTTTACTGGCTTCAGTGAAGATGCCAAACGGGTTAGTGGCATCATTGTTCATCTTGTAGAAGTGCATGTGAATCTCTACACAGAGAAGCACAGGCAGATCACAATGCACTTAGTTCATGATGTGCCATGCTGCACGATGGTGAGATCCTCCACAGGTGACTGCATTGCGCCACCCTGCATGATGGCCTCAGCGGACATTGGGTCAGGACTATGTACTGGTGCAGGGCACCAACTGAGGACTGATTTCCCCGAGCACAACGGTCAACCGTATACGATATGTTACCAGCGGATGCCGCGATAGCCATGAAGGCATGCCACTTAGCATGGCAACATGTACAGTAGGGTGGTTCATAACAGGACACAAGAACAGGCAGAGAAACAACATGCACTCACAAAGAAAGAGCAGGTATGATGTTGTTGTTGTTCTGTGTGGCATGAATTACATGCAGAGAGCTGTTTTCTAGTGATTACATCTACTTCGAGTAGGAGGCCGAGCATACAGCTGTACAAGTAGTAACATTAGTACGGTAGCAGAAAAGTGTGAAATATGTACTACTGCAAACCAAGATACCACTGACTGCACTAGCCTATCTCCTATCTAGAAATACTTCTGAAGTACATGTTCATGTATCTTGAGCAAGAGCCGGGTTGGAGAGGTTCAGTACTCTACAACCTTTCAATACTTCGAGTACATGTGTATGATCTGTATGATCGAAACAGCTGCATTATGGCATCAATATCAACTGAAGCCGTAAAATTATGTTGTTGGTTTGTCAATGAGGCCGGTCGGAGAGCATGTCTATGCCGTGGTGGGGAGTTTTGTAAGTCATCTTGTATACTTCGAAGTAGTTGTTCAATTTAAAAACCTTTCTCCATTCGAGTGGAAACACTGGGAACGATGTACATGTACGAAGTATACTATTTTATCTACTGTAGCATAATTATCACTGATCTCACCTCCAGCATTTTCATTGAAGTCCGGAATGTTCACTATGTCTAGGCTGACGTGTGAGGTGTCCACCGTATCAGAGGTATCATCACTGCTATACAAGATCACGACAAGCTCCCAGCTGTCCATTGGGTCAGTGCTATTGGGCTTGTGAACCGTTGCCAGAGAGCCCAGTGTGCCTTTGTTTGTGTCTGGTTTCCACGATGTCAGAAGCTGCAACACAGGACGAGCGCGTGATAGAAAGAAATAGGACAATGAGACATATCATGCTGGCTTTGTGTGTGTGTGTGTGTGTGTGTGTGTGTGTGTGTGTGTGTGCGTGTGTGTGCGTGCGTGTGTGTGTGTGTGTGTGTGTGTGTGTGTGTGTGTGCGTGTGTGCGCGTGCGTGTGTGTGTGTGTGTGTGTGTGTGTGTGTGTGTGTGTGTGTGTGTGTGTGTGTGTGTGTGTGTGTGTGTGTGATAGTTTCCATGGGAGATGGCGGCGGAAAACCGATGTCTGCCAAAAGAGAGAGAGACCTATCACCTTGAGCCTGGCAGTGGTGGACAACATTGGATCAGATATTCCCCACACCCTAGCCTTCTCTCAGGCCAGGTCGTTGCAACCAACAAAGCTCCTAGCAGTAGGTGCAAAGCCTACACTACACCACACCACAGTACAGTGCACGTAAGGGGATACACTACTGTCGGTCACTGAAGTGCTGGGGGGGGGGGGGTCAGCCTCCTAGCTTACTACGCCCCGCTCGTATTGTCACGTATTACAGTCTGTGCACAGCTGAGCCACCGTGTATACATTGGTATGCCGTGCTCCGTGAAATTCTAGCCTGGTCGTTCCTCGGCACCCGGCAGTACTGTACATGCGTAACCGGGCCCCATTCGTCACATCTAATAGTCACCTTGTCGGGACAGTCATGATAGCAGTAGGAGATACTTGCATTAGTATACACTGTTAGCGTCACCGGGGGAAAGTCCCTTGGCCCATGGGAAACACTGCTGGAAAGTATACACAGCAGTGTATGCACATGACATGTTACCTGATTTTCTCCCAGCAATGCCAGCAGACTCATGACAGACAAGACGGGCTTCTTGATCATTTCTACGCTACGCGGCGTTGTCAAGTTCATGCGAAACCGAGTAGTCAGTGTCCGCTCGTTGAAATGGCTCACGGGGTCCCAATTCAAGAAGCCGTTGTCGTTGCTTAGCAGAGCGTAACGCGTGAACGCTGCTGCTTCAGCCGTGGAGAGGAACATATTCTGGTGCTCTGCAATCACCTTGACAACCATGGCAGCATAGCTAACATCACCTCTCCAGTCTTCTAACTTATTCCAGCCTCCCACTGGATCTGCTTCATCATTGTATATATCGACATGTGCTAGTTGAGGATACTGACGGCGGATTGCATAGATAGTGTCGTTCGATGTGTCTAGAATATAGTCCGAGGATCCCTTGCCTTTATGATGAAAGGAAATGAAGTCAACTCGGACACCTGTTTTGCCTGCGCAAAAAACAGCATGGCAGTGAAAAGTATTGCAGTTGACACAACTCAAGTATAGGGAGAGCCAGCACAAAAGAAGTGGATGAGCTACGAAAATACCCCACAGTAGCAGTGGGGAAAGTCGGGAGCAGGGAGTTGTAAAATGGCGGTATTTTACAACTCCCTGGTTTGGACATCACAAGTAACCGCTCTAACGGTCCCTCACTCACAAGTATTGCGGAGACCCAGCATGGCTCAAATTGCCCAGAAACCTCTTGCTGCAATTAACATACCCCACAAACGAACAGACTGAGGAAAGGCATGCACAGATAAGCCCCTTGTCCGGCAGCACCAAGCAGTGACACGAGATTTCTTTGAACGCCGGCTTACCTGTGAAGTAGTTAGTTCCATTGGCGCAGTGAGCTAGGAATGCCCAGCAGTACATTTGTGTATCTCTACAGCCATCTCCAGGACCACCGAGACGTAGTGAGGGATCAACAGCCAGCAGGCCTTCGGAACAGGCGTCGTAGTAGTTCAGAAAACCCTCAATGGTGATGTCCAGGTTGTCGAAATCTTTGTTGCTTGGTTCATTCCACGTCTCGAAGTTCCACTGGGCAACTTCAGCCAGGCCGTACCGGGTAATATAATGTGCTGCAACTTGCTGTACAAGGTCTTTCCACAGTATGACTTGCGTTTTATTGTCAAACGAGGTGAAGTAACCGGATGGGTTTCCCATGATCTCAAAGCCAGGCCGTAGCTGACTACGATGCAACCAATCCATGAGGATGTCCAACGTTGAGAAGTCATATGTCAGATTCGTACTGGACTCACTGTCAAACAACACAGGAACACAAGTAGAATAGGAAATGCAACAGCGCAACGAGTTGGCTGCCTATGAGTAGCACTGAGCAGCTAAACATTCGAATCCACATCACACTATTGGGCTGAAAGAGGATGGTTGCAGAAAGTACAGTCTGTGGCATGCAGCGTTGAGTCAAGAGCCGCTCCTCGGAGTTTCTTCAAACGGCTACATGCAGAGATAAGTGGCTTGAATGCAAGCCTGCTTAGAATAGCAACATACCGGTAGCACTGGCATCAGCTTCTACAGGAAAAAAGCCCAGTTTTTATAATGTGACATTACATGTACAGCTAGTCACTGTCAGGAACCACTTAGAAAGGACCTTGGTCTATACAGTACCAATACTGCTGTGAAGGCATAGAGGTTTCCGGCAAGCCACATACGACTGAGATTTCATTTACAAGTCATGCAAAGTGTGGTTGGTTCATGGCACGCCGGGGTCATGCAAATACAGTAGGTATCGGTTATAGCGTGGGTGTTTGAAAAACGACTTTCTATTCTTATTTCCGATATTTCTTACACACGATAAATCAAGTGTTGGTTGGTTGGTTTTTATTTCACTTCGCACATTCAAACGGGATGACGACCCAATAAAATGACGGCGAAGGCTTAGCCTAGAAGTGGCTATGGAGTGTGGCATATCACATGCACGTGCGCAGGGGCAGGAAGATCATCGTACATGCAACGCAGTACTTCTGTGCATGTGGCTGGTCATAGTCCCATAGGCTTACCATGTGGCTATGCAAAGTGAGTTACATGACCACAACAGTTGAATCTGCAGCACTATGACGCAACGAGAGTCAGATCAGAACGGAATTGGACAGATGTTATTACTACAGGCGATACACTTTGTACTAATCTGGCATGTTTCGCTACACAAAGTCCATTCTTAGGACCGATATATTCTACTATGAGATAAAATTGCTTGTAAGAATAAATGTGCACTTGAAATCCATGTTATGATTATGAAAACATGAGAGTTCATTCTTGTAGGCAGTATTATTCTTTTACACGACCACCACGCTATAACCGATACGCACTGTAGTTCTGCGAATGTTATCCCAATGCCGTGCTTTACTGCGTGTGCTGTGCTGGGTACTGAGCATGTAGAGCTCACTCGTAGATAACCGAGAGCCACGGACTTTAAACGCCCCCCCCCCCCCCACACACAATGCCCGTTACTACTAACTCCCAGAGAATGTGCAGAACTTGCTTACCCGGTTACAGTGACCAGATCCAGTAGCCAGTGGATGCGTACTTGCTCAATCCCTCTTCTAGCCACCGACCCTATCAGGGCAATGTTTTGCATCTCATCTTCTGTGATGACGTATGAGCTGAAGTTCTGGTGTGGCAATGGCGGGCAGAATCCAGTACTTCTCCAGAAGCGGTCCAACGGTGCCACGATGTGCGAGGCGTCCACCGTGACCGAATAGGATCCACCATTCTCAGTCCTGGCACCGGACATTCTGCCCTGGGCAAAATTGCTCCATGTAATTGTTATTGCTAGGCATATTTGAATGCACACAGAGAAACTAGCTAGCGAGCACATGGTGGGTTTCGACCGGTCAGCTCAGGCCAGGGATCTAGGGACATGTGTTGCATAGAGCTTACTTAGAAGTCACTACTTGACACTAGTGACTGGTGTGCTGAACTAAAGTCAGCAACCCAGCCTATTCTACAAATTTGTACAGTTAGCGGAGCCTCAGCCGCTAGAAACGAAGAAAGGTGCAAGGATCAAGGAGCAGGCAGATTCCTAAAAAATAACGATCGGATCGGACTGTTGAACTCGAGGACTCCAAACTAAAAAGACACTACACTCTACAGTTTTGTACGTAGTCTGTCCTGTATACATGGAGTGTAGATCTACGTAACGTAAATCTGCAACGAGCGCGCGCAGAGTGCCAGCTGATCGGAGGGCTAGGGCACGATCACCAAGATTAGGGAATCAAAGGGACTGGCCAGGGGAACACAGCACGTGCCCCTTTATGCGCGTGTTGTTGCGAATCGCGAAACAGACTTCATACGATCACAGACTGAGTCTGAGACACACTGAGTCTGTTTGTAGAGTGTAGACCCGGTAGCATTCATGTCGTCATCATGGTCATGAGCCTAGCCATGGCCATGGCCTGGGGGCAGCCTTACAGGTACATGTACTGTACTGCGTGGACGTCGTCGTCACGACCCAACACAGGTTTTCACGTGATTCGGGAGGTTCTGCACGAGGTCCCCGTCTACGTCTCGCAACGACTCAGTCAGACTCCTAGGTCTCAACGTTGTAAGGACTATGACTCCCAGTGCTAGTGTGAGCTCAGGGTTTGGGTTTGGTTTCTCCAGCACCCACCGCAGCACTACCAAAGAGAGAATTCTTCGAATCTTGGACTACGAAAGCTCAGTTGGAGTTTACGGGAACTGACTGACGCCAGGTGCGAAAGCGACAATACTCACTACTACTACTACTCTCTCTCTCTCTCTCTCTCTCACACACACACACGCACGCACACACACACACACGCACACACACACACACACGGACACACAGGAAAAATCATCATCAGTTCCTAGCAAAACCAACGGAACAATGTCCTTGTAATATTCAGCCATGACATGATCAACATGAAACATAAACGAAAAAATACTTGCCTAAAAGATGCACAGAAAAGAAGCATAGAAACATTCCGCCAGCAGACGTAGACAACCTCCTACATAACATACATGTACATCAAGTACTAAAACAATAAACACTTTAAAAAAACTTTACTTGTAGACCATAGATATGAACATAGAACAAATGTGTTATGCAATTCACTTTGAAGCAGAACAAGGATATTATTACCTGCATGAGAGGCTGAAGTTATTTTGTGGAATAAAATTTGTGAATTGAAATTAGCGAAGCACACCAGTACTGTAGGGTCAATTCCGTTTGTCCAAAAAATAAGATCTTTTAGAGCTCCAGAGGAGGCAACAGTTGTTATCGATTCTAACTTTTATCAGTCATCAAGTGGAAATACCAGTCTACTAGTAACTCCTAACCGTCTCCATCATGATTGTGGATCTCGAGAACATGCTGAAATCAATTCCTATGGGTAAATGCAATTCTCAGGCGCCAGGCCTGGATATCACAATGCCAGACTATTGAAGGATATGCGCCAGATTGTTAGCAACTCACGTTATAACTGGCAGACAGATACAAACCACAAGCCACCCAAAGGAGCATGCCTTCAGCAACCTGGTAGTGCAGGGCGAGACTAAGACACACATAAACAAAGAGAGAGGGAGAGAGACAGAGAGAGAGAGAGAGGGGGGGGGGGGGCAGTATCAACGGCACCAGACCATGCCAGAACAGCCGCAAAGTTTATAAATCTGTGACAAAGAGCGACGCCTTCAAGTTGCTTCTGCCCATACCCCGTGATCGAAACGGTCTAGACTGTAAATGTCCAGTGCCTTCCGAACGCTGAGCACGCCATTTTGCTGCCAGATGGCCAGCGAAGATGCAAGCAAATATCACTTGCAGACAAGCCAGTGATGTTAGTGCAATTCTCCATGGCTTCCTGTGGATCATTTCATAGCTCAAGTCGATCAAACCCAGCGTGATATCATCAAAGCGGTTGTCATCAATGACTATGGCAACGTAGATGAGGCACAGGAGAGCTGAGATCAGACTGAAAAACAGCGGCGAGAAGAAACTGATCACTTCACAGAAAGCTGACGGACACAGGCATGTGTTGTGATAGCCATTGCAGTGGCGTACACACTGCAGTACGGCGGGTATCAAGGCAGCCACAATACCTAGCGCTGTGAACAAGACTTGCGAGAAGAGCAAGTCGACAGGACAGTCCAGACCATTGGAGTCAGCTCCCCAGTTCCAGCACACTTTTCTATCACTGTCTACGTTATAGCTAGGAGTAACGTTACCCGTGCTATTGCTGTTAATGGGAGTCACTGCAGCCATTGATACTAGAACTGACACAAGACAACATTCGGTGACTACCAACGCCAGAACTGTCCAGAGTCGCGTCGTTTGAATCTCCATCTTCCTCGATCATTCAGTCCTCTCAATGGTTCAGCGTGTCTCCACTGATATGAGGCCAGTGCTGTTCGGCAGGCCTGGGCTGTGCGAGTGAATTCTGTTGGCACTGCCAGCAAAATTAATGTGATAAAAATACGTTTTTCACCTGGGAGCAACACGACTTGGGAGATGAGAAGTGGAAGAAGGAAGGTCAGTCAACGAAAACTACAAACTAAACAATGGTATCGGAATGGGAGTCTACAAACTCATTATATTAACATACACCTAGCCGTTCAAGTCCTGCTGAAGAACAAGAAGAGGCACTACATATAAAAGTAGAGTAGAAATGCGAAATTTTGAACTGCAGACTTGCAGACTTGTAGCTTGTACCGGTACTACTAAGTACTAGTCAATACTAGTCATTATCATCTGGTCATGTGACTTGTTTGATTGATCGTCGATTCGCCATCCGGGAGTAGTAAAATATTGGAGTAGGTCTACGAGTATAGTACTTGTCTTGTCGACTCCCTCGGCCCGGCCTTATCTGAGGCTGCAGCTGCTGAGCATCACTACACTACAATTGTACAGTCCATTCAGAAAAAGATGGACTTCTAGCTTTTGGCCATAAATGGGTCAAACTTTGAGTTTTTTTCGAATTTTTTTCTGCAATCCCTATGGAATCCTCTTCCTTTTTTTTTGTTTCTGAAGTTTTTTTGTCCAAAAAGCAAGCCATAACAAGAATAGAATTTCGGCCAGGTTTTGCCCCAACAGCACTGAATTGGGAAAAACCATAAAAATCCAGGCCGTTTGACCCCGCCTACAAACTTGCATTGTGCGGTTCGAACCCCAGTTCAGGTACCCTTTTTGGACCCTTTTTCAAATTTCAAATTTCGCAGCACTGCACTGTGTACGATGAAATCACGAAAAATCGCCAAATACGGGAGCTCGCCAGAGCCAGATCTGCAGCGCCCATCTTTTTATGAATGGACTGTAGTATACTACATGTATCATGTCTATGACTCATTCTGATTGTTATGACATTGTTACGTCATAATCACGTGCTTTCAGGTGTTCATGCTTGGCCCAGACATGCATTTTGTTAGCATGGTTCATTCATAATAGGGAGGTTCCGGAGTACTATTTTTCGTGCCAAAATTCTTGGAGGCGCTACGGATATTTTATACGTCGTTTTCGAGCAGTGAAAAGTTCCGGGGTACGGAACTTATGTGTTTGCCGTCATTGCCTAGGTTACGATCGCAAACACGTCACATTCCCGCGCTATGCCTTTTTATTTTGAAAATTTGTACCGAAATCAAAACTTCCCGCGGAAAATTGATGTTTCTCGTACCAAATTTGTACGCGAAAACTCTTTCTGCACCCGATGACGCAAAATCTCCATACGAAACATGGTTCGTATGAAAGCCAGTCCACACGGATTCTCCGTGCCGAAAAAGCGTATGGAGCACGCCGGGAAAAAATCCGTAGTGCCCATACGGATTTTGGCACGGAAAATCGTACCCCGGAACCTCTCTATTATCACTATAGGGAGTTGTATGACTATTGTATTATAGTAAGTTTGGCGTCATCCATGTCATCCAGGTTCCAGCTGGCCCTACATCAAGTCTGTACCGAAATAAATTAATGGTTCTCTTTTTAGACCATGCAGGCAAACACCAGTAAAACATACGTACATGTACACGTGTTTTCGCGTATGTACATGTATGTATGACTCAATAACACGATTTCGTCTCATTATTATGATCATGCAGTTGCCACGTGCACGTATCCGTTTCCAAAGTCCAAACCCACAGTGGCATTTCTGCACTGACACTCTGTAACCCACACTCGAACCGGGGCTGAAACTGACCCCGCATAACTCACTGAGCGTCCGCCGGGCAAACTGTAATCCAGACCTTTTCACGGTGGGCAGTGGACAGTGGTTGTATCGATGGAAGCTTCATGGTATCACATGATCATCAAGTAAATGAATAAATATTCGAAGTACATTGTACGTGTATATGCATGAGGTCGAGTACTCTTGATAATGGATTATGTTGAATAAAAATATCACTGGTAAATAGCTCAAGCTCAGTATACAGTAACGTGGTCACAGACTCACAGTCCATAATCTTGGTAACGTCACAGCTGAATCAGTAAGACCTCAGTAGTCCGGGTATAATTTTATTGAACTTCTGCTCAAGTTTCATAGCCCATTCTACTCATCATTTGCAAAGCCAAACGGGGTTTTCTTGATCATACTGGAATCAGATCGAGCCACTTGTATGAAGTCTTGGTCGAGCCACTTGTACAGAAAGTCTCGATCACACTCGGCCACTAGTACAGGAAAGCAAAGCCGCAGAATACTGGCACTACGCCATCGGCTGACTTTGAAATCCGAGCGCAGAAGCTCCACGATTCTGTTCCACTTTGAAGTCACGGTGTCGACCGACCATTCCAGCACCTGTAGCTGGTTCTTTTGATTGTAAATACTTCGAAGTAATAATTGATAAACCTTTGCTTCGTGACATCATAAGCGACTCGTTACGGAGTACAGAATCCTGTAGACTCTTTACCTTTGAAATTATCAGCTACTGAACGTTCAGCGACAGCCGACAGGTACTATAGGTCTTTCCAATCTGCACAATGGCGTTAGTACACCATGCAGTATGTCTGGGTGGTGCGGCCCAAGGATACACAGCACAGCCGAGCAGTCACTCAAGTCTGGTGGCATTGAGACAGTGATTCCACAGGGACGAGATGTCGGTGCCTAGTTTTTGCTCGTAGTCGACGCCGGGCAGTTGGCGCGAGCACGGATACTCGCCCACCTGGCGGAATCTGGTGTCCATATGCAAGCCACCATGATAACCCATGCCCCTAGTGAGTTGATTCTTCAAGTGCGGCACGCTGGTCCCATTGATAAAGTCACGGAAACCAGCCGTGGACAGACAGTTGTTGATGTAGTGAAACGGCAATTCTAGGTCCATGTCCTTTGGGTATTCGTTGTGCAATTGCTGCGATAAGTCTACCAGTACTTCTTGATACACATGACAGTAGCTTGGCACCACAGCGGATGCATACAAATCTGAGATCACTCCTGATGCATACCAGCTCAGTGTGTCATAGAGTGTGGTGTAAGGGAGTAATATATCTACTGCTGTCCGGTGATATGCGGACACAATTGGATCCATGTGGCACTTTCGCACACAGCCGAAATTCTCTCTGGTGAAAGGCCCATCCAGATCTTCAGTCGGATTGAATCCAATGCCAGCCCGCATCGGCCTGTCCCTGACAAGAAGATCGTTGAGCTTCCGCAAGGCCATATCGTCGTTACGATGTCGGATTACTACATCAGGGTGCGAGGCAGAACGGTACGCCAGGGCTGCATCCTCGTCTAGGAATAGCACAAACTCGAACTTCCACTTCTGAGCCTGCTCTATATGAATAGCTTCTTGCAGCAAGCGGTTGCGCCCTGTGGTCCACGTTGAATTTGGCATGTACAGCATCCGAAATGTGTTACTTTGATGATTGGCCACCGCACTTGTTGTGATATTCTCCTTCCAAGACAGACTTATGACCGCCGTGTTCTTCCAATTCGACCTCCGTATCCATTTCGCGCCCGGCGAACCCCTCAATTGCATCATGTAGACAAATGAGGCAGCCCTGATGGCCAGACTGTCTCTACTCTTCGCTGCAACATTGCCGGCCTTTGTAGGTGAGCTAGCCGCAGCAGACGAGTGCAGGAGATCTGAAATTTGGCACGAGGAGATGTTTCGCCCAGCGAGTAGGTACAATCCCAGTAAGGTAACGACGAGGAGAACACTCAGCTCGCGGCGAGTTGGGCTTGATGTATAGAAAGACAAGGCGATCGTTGGAGCCCTCTCCGCCATTCGAACTCCATGCAGTTCTAGACTATGCTGCGAGCTTACAAAGTATCAGGTACGTGTACTGTAACCGCTAAGAGTAAATGGAGGCAGCTTTTTTTTGCTAACCAGCAACCTACGTCTCTGCGAAAGGTGTTCACCAACAACTGAGTTAGCTCTGTTGACTAGTATTAGTAAGGAAACAGATCGGAAAAGCTGGAACTGCTTCCGTCACCATGTACCAACTGCACTGCAAAACTAACTACCGGTTGCTAGTTGCCCCACTAGAACGCATCATGACACATGTGTACAAGAGCAAGGCCAAAGGGTACCGCGCCGGTGGACATTTGATCGTTTTATGTCTTTAGTCTTTTACTTCTTTGTCATCGACGAATCTCATAATATTCTTGCATTGATAATAATGCTGGCACGCACTGCCAGTGCAGTACCGTCGCCTTACGTCGACAGACTAGACTGTGACTGAGTGAGCGTACATTCGTAGATCTAGGTCTAACCTCGATCTATGTAGACCAACCACGTCTACAATGACTATGCAGCCTAGTAGTAATAGTAAAACTGATGACTTACACTTACACCTGTGACGTTGTGTTCGCATTGCGCAAGTGAAAGCCATACTACCCACATTAACATATCTCGATATCTCACTTCGCATCTCGCACAGGCGCTTACTTGGTTCTGCATGACAGGCGCTCAAGCGGTGTGACAGTGAATGGTGAACGACATGACTGACGTCTGTGGTCTGCACCAGGGGCGAAGGGGGTAAGGAGTCGTCGAATCTACTGTCGCGACCCGCGAGTGTTTACTGTTGTCGCGCAGTGCAACTGCAACTAACTTAGTGCAAGCAGCAAAGGCAGCCGAAGACGGAGTACCGGTAGTTAGTTGCACTAGCATTGAACTACATCTAAAATTAATACTACATTCTACAAGACTAGACTAGACAGACGAACGAACACAACGACAACGAACACAACGACAACGAACACAGCGACAACGAACACAAGCAACGAACACCCCCCCCCCCCCCACACACACACACACATTGATTGAACTTTGAAGTCCTTCCGCAGTCGAGACTGGCATTCAGCCGCAGATGCTCTCTCAGAGTCTGAACTGTGGCATCCTCAGTAGAAGCCCTGCTGAACACTCTCTCCATTTGCACCCTGCGCCCCCCCCCCCCCCCCGCCCCCCCTCTCCCGTCATCTGCTACACCTGCGACCGACAGTTTGCACGCCCCAGTGATCGCGCACGCCACAACCACAAGTGTAAGGTTGAGCGTGCGAAGCCGGTTGCCATGGTTGCGGAGCAGAACAGTGCATGCGATAATTATGCCAGTGTGGAGAGTGTGGCCGTTGGCTGAAGTCCCGTGGAGGTCTGGCAAGGCACAAGTGTACTTACCCCCAGTCAGCAGTCGGTGCGCCCCTGCCTGCTTCTCCGCTGTGCTGCATCGCTCACTGCCAGGCTTGTGACCGCTGCTTTGCGTCTACACGTGGCCGCGCCCGTCATCGCTGCTCACGGACTTGTAGTCGTCCGACCGTTCAGGACCGTCAGGTTTCAAACTTTCACATGTGTTTGCGCCTGCTCCCGCCGATTTCGCTTACCGCATCACCTGGATCGTCACAGGGCTGTGTGCTCCTCCTCTCTCTCAGCTGCCCCTCCGGGGCCCACGTAACCTTCATGGCAGTGGCTCAACAGGACAGGACAGGTGTGTGTGTGTGGTGTGTGTGTGCGCGCGCGCGCGCGCGCGTGTGTGTGTGTGGTGTGTGTGTGGTGTGCGTGTGTGTGTGGTGTGTGTGTGTGTGTGTGCGTGTGTGTGTGGTGTGTGTGTGTGTGTGTGCGCGCGCGTGCGTGTGTGTGTGTGTGCATGTGTGTGCGTGTGTGTGGACTATGAGTGACTGTGTAACACCTAGCCTATAATATAGAGTGCTTGTCGAACACTACTACTAGTACTGAGTACTAGCAACCATGATGCCATAGGCATAGTGATGGAACTACAGCAATACATTTTGTCAGTGGAAGACGGAGCATAGCTGAAACAACAAGGGTATAATACGGACATCTCATGTTCAAGGACGGCATTCAAAACTCCAACACCAAGGCAGGCATAGTGATGAGAGCTCTGGGGTGGCAGCATTTGCATACGGGTATGATGATGTGACGGGCCGGGGATAGATTGGTCACTGTGACGGAATAGCATTTGTACAATGGAGATCATATAGAATAATAGAACACTACTACATACACTAGCAAGCCTGTGTAATGATTAGGTGGTCACCAGTCACCAGTCACCAGTCACGCTGGTAGCTGCGCCGCTCCATACTAAGAAGTAGGGGCTGCATGTGTAGTGTAGTGTGTAAGTTAGTAGCATTTACTTAGTTAGTCATAATCACTGCTACCAACACGGTTCTCGTACAAGTAAGAGTTAGCCTGGTGCTGGAACAACGCTGTACTCTCAGTAGAGTGTGCAGGCTGTAGGTTCACTTGTAGTCTGCTGATAGATGCCTTGCTAACCAAACAGCACGGCAAGGTTAGGGACACTACCCTAGTCCAATCAGCCTGTGTAGAGATCAGCATTTCCGATTTGCTCAGACCAGGTGTACGACCAGCTCTATGTGCCGACCAGCGCTCTTGTAGTATGCGTCGTGCAGCAGGTGGTCTACTGATTGCTGGTCCAGGTTTCTCACAGTGGTGTGGTTGATAGAGAGAATCTGCATGCCCCTCTGCAAGCTTCTATTCGCCGCTGCTAGGCTATGTGGCTGTACAGAGAATACACGCATATGCACACACAACACCCTGGTTATAGGAACTGTTAAAATACATGTCAACAAACAATGGATCACTCGTAGTGTTTCGCTACTCTGAGTTTCATGCACCGTGTGCAATCATCAGGCAAACAATATTCAAATTGTTTGTTGACATGTGTCATTGCTCCCCCCAAGAAATTGGATGTTGAGCACTTTTTCTGCAGCTGCAGGCATAGTCTTACTGAGTAACTGTTAGGCCATGGTAAAATTGATTCTCAGGTCATGAGCCTGTGAAAATCGGTGCGAGCGAGCGATTTTTTATTTTAATTCCCACAATTTTTTTATTTCCAAAGATAGGGTCACACATGTGTATGTCACAGGTTCATAATTAATTTATAATTATTTTATTATTCAGGCCAGGGAGTAGAAAAATACCGGTATTTTACTACTCCCGGATTCATACCTTTCGCATTGACCGTTTTCATGCACGCATATGCATGCATAGAAATTAAAAAAATCGTCGGTGCGCCGCCAAAAATCGATGCGCGCGTACTTGAGAATCAAAGGTATTTTTTACCATGGCCTTATAATATTATATTGTAACCCACTACACTAGTCCAGTACAGTCGTGTACATGTACATGGCAATAGCATACAGAGTTGATATTGGGTTCAGCGCCTACTGTGCAGCATGCTCTAGCCGTGTATGTGCGACGTGCCAAACTTGCACCCACGTGGCGGTGCTGTGCTACTCGATGCTTATCACAATCGCAATTATCGCATACTAGTACACTACTGGCCTGCCGTGTATGCCGTGTGCGTGCATGCATGCCCTGCTGCCGTGTGCGTGCATGCATGCCCTGCTGCCGTGTGCGTGCGTGCATGCATGCCCTGAAACGTCGGTATAACGTACATGGACCTCCGGGCACGTAAACCTTGGCAATTTTATAACCAAGGCACTCAGAAAGGTAGTCAGTGGACGGGGGCGTCCGACACGGTACGGTCACTACGGTATTGACCGTGCCACTTTTTGCCCCAGTTACCCCGTGAATCAATACTAAACACACTGATCTGGACTCTAAATTTCCAAAATTTTCGGCTCAGCCACCCCCCCCCCCCCCCCACGAGTAAACTGTACTTCAGATGGCTGACCGTACCACACTAAAAACACTTTCCGACGCCCCTGGTGAAGTACAGTAGCAACAAGCCAAGGTACTCCATATCCAAGGTCAATTGACAAGAAAGGAACATGCACAGATTGCCCTCCAAAAAAGTGCTTTACGAGAACCGGTATACATCTACATGTATACCCGACTCAAAGAGAAACTAATTGTAGTCCAAAGTTCACAGAACTTCAGTGCTTCATCCATGCTGGTCATGGAGCAGGCAGGACACAACACCACACTGCGGTATACTAGTAATGTTAGTTCCTAGTTGTACCAACAGACTATCCCAGAGAAGCACTGTCGACTAGTGTACAGTCCATTCAGAAAAGGTTGATATCCTAGCTTTTGGCCATAAACGGGTCAAAGTTTGAGTTTTCGTCTCCTTTTTTTTGGCAATCCCCCATGGAATGCTCTTCCAATTGTGTTTTTGAAGTCTATTTCTCCAAAAAGCAAGCCATAACAAGAATAGGATTTCGGCCAGGTTTTGCCCCCAAAGCACTGAATTGGGTAAAAACCATGAAAATCCAGGCCGTTCACTCCACTTGCATAACAGTACATTTGCGGTTCGAACCCCAGTTGAGGTGCCTTTTTGGACCCTTTTTCAAGTTTCGAATCGCACGGCACTGCACAGTGTACCACAAAATCGCCAAACACGGGAGCTCTCCAGAGCCAGCGCTCAACCTTTTCTGAATGGACTGTAGGTGTTACTGCGCCATACATGTACATAGTACATACAGTCAACTTTGTGTATAACCACACTCGGCGGGGCATCAGAGAAGTGTCGTTATTCGCGAAGTGTCCTTATAACCGAAGTCTCATTATATGTATACATGCTAGATGGGACTTTGCTCTGGACATGGAAATTCTGTCGTTATTCGCGAACTGCCGTTATATGCGCAGTCGTTATTAGCGCAAGTTGACTGTACATCATTCCACATCACATTAGGGCACCTCAACTCAAACACAATACAGGCACGTCTGTTGTCATCCTGATGATGGGCCACGCTGGACAATTTGGTGAACAGTTTACAGCGGATGCAGCACAGACACCGCATTGTGTTTGAGACTTTTTGATTTGAGGTATCCTAATGTGTCAATGGCTGCAATGGAATCCGCGAGTACTTAGAAAAGTTTATTCCACAATACAATTATGCACACTGCTGGAGTAATTAGTACCTTGATATCAGATATGAAGATTCTCGCATCACCAGTGTCCGAACAAGATCCATTCTGCTCAGCGCTAGCACACGTGGAAATGCCAAGTGGGACTGATGCATTTTTCTCTAGAGTCACTGCTCTGATCTCTCCGGATAGGTTCTGAAAGCCACCATACGTTGGCATGTATAGGCCACACTTCATTCTGCGTCCATTGCTGCGACTGTGGCCACCGTCAGACTGCAGTGATTGCCAGTGACCAATGCTGCTGCCGTGATTAACTCCAGCCGCCGTTGGATGCCTGCTCGTCATGGTATTGCACCCATCAACTTCCATCTGCTTACAACCACCATTGCAGCTACCGTTATAGGCCCCAAAGCCATTGCTACTCACAATGAACTGGCTCTGGTAGCTGCATGACTGTACCGTGGGCATTGGGGGTACTGTACCACCGGGGTACTCCAGATCACCACACTGCTGAGCTGGGTCTGCTGAGAATGTACGCTTGGCAAGCGGCTCCATCGACACACGCTCGCTAGTATCCATTTCTCCGGACAGCAGTGCCGCAATGTAGCGATGCAGAGCTGGATTACTGGTGAACGTCAACTGAGCTGAGAGTGGGAGTGTGCGTTGCTGCTACATTTACAATTACATGTAATACTGGTATCGCCGCTACAGAGAAAGACGCCAGTCCAGGAACCTCCACTCCAGCTGGACTACGATTGCGTTATAATTATGACTTGGGTACGGCAGTGCTATCCACCAGCTGCCTGGAGCGGTGTGCTAGGAAAGCTAGAAGCATTGACTAAGAGATAGTGACTGAGTGGACCACGATAACTGCGTCAGCTCTGTCACAATTCTCACATCGCACGAGATAAGAAGAAAAACACCCATTCTTCTTTGTGTTTGATGCTGCGTCGATATTTTCTGAAGCGCTTCCTGCTTTCAACGTTTTGAACTTTCGCGCGAAGTGGTGTGGCACGTGCCCAGCGTAACCACTGGTAACGAGCCAGGTGCTACCCCCTCCCCCCCCCCTCCCGTTGTGACTGGCACTTCACTGCTAGCTGGCACTTCATCTTCACTGCTAGTGCTAGCTAGCTGGTACTACAGACTTCAGTCTATTCAGAAAAGGTTGATATCCTAGCTTTTGGCCATAAACGGGTCAAATTTTGAGTTTTCGTCTCCTTTTTTTTGGCAATCCCCCATGGAATGCTCTTCCGTGTTTTTGAAGTCTATTTCTGCAAAAAGCAAGCCATAACAAGAATAGGATTTCGGCCAGGTTTTGCCCCCAAAGCACTGAATTGGGTAAACACCATGAAAATCCAGGCCGTTCACTCCACTTGCATAACGGTACATTTGCGGTTCGAACCCCTGTTGAGGTGCCTTTTTGGACCCTTTTTCAAGTTTCGAATCGCGCGGCACTGCACAGTGTACCACAAAATCGCCAAACACGGGAGCTCTCCAGAGCCAGCGCTCAACCTTTTCTGAATGGACTGTAATCGCCATGATCACTATCGGCGTATCGCACTCTGCAGACACCGAAAACAAACCAAGCCAAGCTAATCATGATTCATTATAATGTGCAATACTTGTCAATCTGCCAGAATCGACTTAGAAGTTGGAGGTATTCCGCTACCTTCATGTTATGTACCTCAGTCAATCAGAGTCTTGACGTTCTGGCAGTCAGTACCGTGCCAGTAGTCAGATCATAGTCACCCAGCCTCCTGAACTCCGTCTTTCAGCTCAGGACTGGGGGGGGGGGGTCCAAGGAGTCACAAGGGCACCGCTCCACAAGTTCACATTCATGTCACCTTCTTCATCACCCCGTTCCCTACAGGCTACAGCTCTCCTGATATTTCAGAATCAAGCGGCGGCGAATAGCAGGGGGGGGGGGGGGGACTGTAGTTTTCACAACTGTAATAATTTATATTATGTCAGAATGCATGTGTTCCACAACTGTATGTCAGAACTAGAATACATGTGCCTGGGCTTCACAACAGATAATGTTAATTGCACGCACACACACACGCACGCACACACACACGCACGCACACACACACACACACACACACTTGTACTTGTACTTGCTCACTGCCAAAACTGGTCACGTGGGTCTCCCCGGGAGAGGGGAGAGAGACTCAAAAGGAATCTTGGAAAGATGACTCAATTGGCCATTGAACCACCCAACGGCCGACACCCCCTGAAATCCCCAAACTAGGGTGGACTTGAAATGATCCCACTTATGGGCTCACCACACCTCAGTAAGTGGGTGAGGACAAGGTGGAGAAAAAGGATTGACGGCATCAGGGTATCCGTCCCGGGATCCAACTGCAGGTACCCCTGCCCTCAGTGACTGAGGTAATACTTGGTCACAGACTAGTGTGGGTGGCTAAATCAGAGTGGATCTGATAAAAGCTTCACTAGCACCATTGATTACACAAGAGTTTATCTAGCCAGAAGTAGTCCATGGTTAACAGGTATGTATACTTCAAATAGAAAGTATATGAACCCTGAAACCAACAAAGGTGGTAGGTACAACAATACACCTTCAAGCAGCCGAGCCCGTTGGCAACAGGCCCAACACTATCTGGCATAAGTGTACCCACCAACCGAACTAGCTGGCACACACGCACACACACACACAAGCTATGCACAGTAGTGTATACCCAAAGAAACAGACTGAGGACTAGATATTGTGACACTGCTGCTGCTGCTGCTGCTGCCGCTGCTAACAATGGCCACCATGACCGGCTGACCCCCCCCCCCCCCCTTACTCTCTCTCTCTCTCTCTCTCTCTCTCTCTCTCATAAGGGCAGTAGCACCCGGTTTGGTCGGTCCGTCCATTGACGCACCTTATTTCAAACAAGTTGACCAACCTGTGCAAAGCTCAATTTTCGTCAATAATGTACTTTCCAGTCAAGTATCTCATTTGGCTGGACCCCATGGAATTCCTGGACCCCATGGAATTCCTGGATCCCATGGAATTCCTGGACCCCATGGAATTCCTGGACCCCATGCAACCATGCTCATACACACACTGTGACAGTGATGCCGCTACTTGTCCCGTACTACGCACTACTACTACTTGCACTGTCTGGGCGGGCAAGTGACTGATCACGCCAGCCATGATTCCGTGACCAAACCAACTTGAAGTCAAAACATTGTCGGGAACAGAATGAGTGTAGTATGAATGCGTTTCGGCCTCAAATATTAGTTTATGACCACTGTTGTGAGGAGCATGCAATACCAAGATCAATCTAGAAAACATGAAACGGACATTGGTCAGGAGCTGAATTGCTTCCTTCAATGAGGCTGCCCCACACACAGCATGTAATGATGGCCATTGAAGCATGCACTTCACAAGCAATGCAACAGCAAATGAACAGCACAGACAATCAAAAGAAGTCGAACCATCAGGCCACGGGTCGTCACTACTGCACACTGCATGGGTCACAGTCACATCACAGCGCCCGATCACAGTCCTGTCATAGTCACTGACCATGCTGCACACAGGTTCTATAGTCTTGTACATAACTGGTTTGCGCCGCAGCACTGTCTAATGTTCTCCTGACGATGAGGAGGATGCTGTTGCTGCTACAGGAGACCTTTTCACCAAGGACAAAGGTAGGTTAGATTAAGGTCTGAGGAGAGAGACAAACACACACACACACACACACACACACACACACACACACACACACCACACACACACACACACACACCACACACACACACACACACACACACACACACACACACACACCACACACACACACACACACACACACACACACACACACACACACACACACACACACACACACACACACACGTACACACACACACACACACACACACACACACACACACACACACCAGCAAGGCATAACGTCACTTCAACCACAAATCGGCATATACGCAAAGCTTATAATTCAATCTCTGTTATGATTAAATTCTATTTCGAGACAAGAAAGCAGTTATCAAAGGAAACCCACCCTATCCACAACCAAATGACACCGATTCACTTTGACAGAGACACTGTAGTAATTCTGCAGCGAGGCTTCTTTTTTCGTATCTGTGACCCACCATTGTTCACAATCATAGTACGCATTGCTGATCCTACAAGTGCATGGATGCCCTTAGGACGTTAATTAAAGGGGAAATATGGCCCAGAATCAAATTTTCACTACTCGTAGTCTTCAGGGTGCTGAGTCGAATGGTCTTGGTCCGAGAAAGCTGAGACGCTCCCTTCCTCCTTTATTCCCAATCAAACTCGCCACTTCCACCGAAACTGGGTGACTGCGCCCTACCAGGTGGGGATTTGCATGCCAAATCTCACTAAAAGTGCCATTTCGTTCTTATAAAAGCACATCTGTCATAGCACTGACTGCACATTTCCCCAAAGATAACTGCCGTGTCGAGATGAGTTGTGTTCTTTGCCCGTATCTATTCGGAGGTGGTAGAGATAACCGTCCTCTCCACACAAGCACCAGAACGTGACTCCAAATCGTATGGGTGAGCCATGAATAAACATCTTTGCGGAATGATGGCCCTGATATGAAAACCATTGACTCGGCAACAGATTTACAAAGAATTTTAATGCAGCGCATGCGCAGATTGTGAATAGCAACTGAATAGAGCGGTCGTCAATTGACAAACCCCCTTTTCTTCATAATGCAGTTGTGTGATGTCCGCAACCTACTTAGTGAGCAGATTTACATGGTAGCATAAGTTAACCGTTCTTGCGGTCCAGTTCTCGCACTGTTTTCAGTGTCTGCTCTAGGATTGTAGGACAGCCGGGTACACGTGTACCTGGCGCAACCATTTCAACCGGGTCGGAGCCGGTTACACATGTACCTGGCGCTGTCTCACCAGCCGAGTCACATGCTTTAACTGGTTGGTTGGTTTATTTTAATTCGGACAATAAACGGGAACTAGGCCCTATGATATAAAGGCGAATGGATAAGCCGCATTTAGAAAAGAGAGGACAGGAATTAGAAAATTACGAAAGAAGAAGAAGTATCTGACACATACAAGCCATGTAGTCAGTCCTTTCAAAGTTCGGTAGGCCTATAGGCGGACAACCGCGCACAGACTTGTACTTTTTTCGCGTGCCAGCTGCCTTCAAAATTCGAATATAGGCCCAGGGCTAAAAAACGAACCATTATTACTGATTTTTTTCCCGGAAAATGCATTATTTCGTATATTAGCCCATGGGCTTATATGCGCGGAACTACGGTACTACCAAATTTTGGTCAAGATCCGACAAAAAGTGATTTTGGAGCAAAAGTGTCCCGAACTACCTTAAGCAGCATTCTGACACTTACATAACACATGGACAATTGTTGAATGTAACTTGTACATAGGCAGAGACAGACGCCACACCATTGGTAGCCAGGCACGAGTATCGACCAGCGTCGCTAGCGGTTACGTTGCGGATTTCCAAGACACTGCACAGGTCACTTTGCACAACACTGACACGATCTGAAGTCATCGTGGCTAGTGTGGTGTTCTCCATTGTCCACACAATTCTGTCCGGTCGTGGATTGTTGGATAGTACACATGATGCCACAAGTCTATCGCCGACTGATGTGCAAAGCTGTGTGGCAGGACGTGTTGTGAACACTGGTAGAGCTACAAGACAACATACAACGAGAGAGAGAGAGAGAGAGAGAGAGAGAGATAGGGAGACTATGAGAGGGGCTAAGAGAGAGATTAAGAGAGAGTGTGTGTATGTGTGTGTCTGCCACGCTCATTAGATAGTCATACCGTCAGGCGAAATTACTGGTCAGTCGGCGACACGCATTTTTCACAAAAAAATGCGTTTCACCTGTTGGGAGAGTATGCGTGTACTCGAGTCTCATCCTGAGCTCGTTTTTTCTTCTTTTTTTCAGCTCCAGTATAGCTGTATTTTTAATTGCAATGCCGTCCTCGATTGTTGTGTTCGTTGTTCAAACGAAGTGGACATTCAATCATGAAGGCAGAGGACATAGGAGCCTGATTGGAGTTTCTCGTGGCATAGGACGGCCACACAGAGACACTTTGGGATTTTCTGAATATAAAATACCGTTCGCACGATGCTGAGATCAATTTGTGCGATATCAAATTGTTTGTGATCTACCACATCGAGCAGAACGGGATCCAAACACAAGCTTACCGACGGTTAGGCTGCCGACCTGACTGGACAAATGATCCCTGGCTTCACCAGACGCCAGAAGTCGGACACCATGTCCTTTGCCGCGACGTCCATCTCCAAAAAGAACTCCATCGTCGTCGTGAAAAGCCTTGAAATACTCAATATTCAACCGAGATTCGCGGTCTCACCCTTTCTCAGATCGAATCATTTTTTGTTGTAGCAGTTGCAGGGCAGTTCCCCGCCACTACTTCAACAGGGGATGGCTCCAAAGCATGCCTGGAACAAGCCATATCGAGGTTGCAAGCCACCCCTCTCAGCAAGAAATTCGAAATTTCAATGGTTGAAGATATACTATGAAGAGAATTTCAAAAAGTATGTTTCGTGGAGCGATCGCTCAACCTACGTCATTCAAACTTTGCAGGATGGTTCAGACGTACATGCTAGGCATGGAACCACAGGGGATGATATCATAGCTGACACGCAGAGTCACACACACAGCATATTCGTGTGCACAGACACTAAATTAGTGGACGTCGTCATCTTCTTCCCGCTGATCTCAAATGTACTATGACGTGCTATTTCGCCTGACGAATCACTCTGTGAACACGATTGACAGCGGGTAATGAACATGACTGTATGCCATGGTTAGCAGCAACCAAACCATCTACAGACATACTGTGTACGCAAGCAGCTGCTTACCAGCACAGAGGAGACCGTTTCCACCAAATCCTTGCAGACACTGGCAGTTGAAACTTCCAGCAGTGTTTGCACAGACTGCGTTGTCATGGCAATTATCAGTTCCCAATGAGCATTCATTGATGTCTAAATTGTACGTGGCAAAAGACATTTCTCTCAATTTTCTCTCGATGTACTCTTTAGTGAATACAACTCGATAAGATTTTAAGCTGATTTCCTGTCTGACGTGTATCTTGAATCGTGAATACCACAATAGCAGAATATTAGCTGCACCGCCGCTTGCAAACATAAATCACCTCTAGCACCAAATATCTAAGCCAGCTCGCAAGACCACTAGTAGTGGTGGGTGACACGGTCTGAACATCACTAAATCATGTCAAGAGTATTTGCTTGTTCGTACTGATCAAGCAGCATTTCTGCGATATAAGCCAAACATTGGCGTGTTTCAATTATTGCTGCCTTTGCTACTATAGCAGCTATTATAACCTGAAATTTGAACACAACCTAATTGGTGGTGAAGTGCATAAAATACTGAAAGGCTGAGAGACCTGCCACAGCATAACCCAATTCCACATTGGCGAGGAAAATCAATTGCCCCCGAAAGATTGCACACACGGTAGACTGAGGGTGCAACATGATGTACGTGTGTACTGTGACTGGTTCATGGGTCATGTGATATGGTCATTAGTCATGTGACTCATAAGTCATTATGACAGCGTCAAACGTCATGTGACTGGTTCATGAGTCATGTGACTACTTCACTCACCCATACAGCTAACACCCGTGCCAGTCCAGCCACTGTTGCACATACAGATGAACGATCCAATCATGTTATTGCACTGGGCGTTGACATCACAGCGGCTTGGCACCTCGGTACATTCATCGATATCCACACAGCCTGTGCCACCTGTCTGCTGTCCATCACCAGTGTACCCTGCATTACACGTACACTGGAATCCTGGCACTTGGTTAGCGCACGTGGCCAGGGCGTGGCACGTATGCGTGTTTCTTGCGCATTCATCTATATCGGCACACTGACCACTGCGGCCGGATCCCTGGTATCCACTCAGACAACGACAGTTAAACGAGCCGATGGTGTCCATACACACGGCAGTGTTAACGTCACAATCATGCGTTCCCAGCATACACTCGTTAACATTGTCACAGTTGTCAATTCCATTACCCGTATATCCGGCTAGGCACATGCACGTATGTGACCCGATTGTGTTGGAGCAGACTGCGTTGAAGAGGCAATTGTGCGACACGGTGTTACACTCGTTCACATCCTGGCACGTCACACCATCTCCACTGTATCCAGCCAAGCATCTGCATTGGAATGAGCCGGCAGTGTTGGTACATTCAGCATTGACATCACAGTTATCAAGACCCAGCTGACATTCGTCAATGTCCCTGCATGTTGCCCCATCACCAGTGTACCCTGCTAAGCACTGACAACTGAATGATCCGTCGTTGTTGATGCAGAGACCTCGGGGTTGCGGCGCACAGTTATCCGTATCACTGGTACATTCATTGACATCCGCACATAGAACGCCATTGCCCATATACCCGGTGTTGCATGCACACGTAAAGCTGCCTTCGGTGTTGCTGCACTCGGCGTTGTCATGGCAATTGTCCGTTCCCAACGTACACTCGTCCACATCGGCACAAACCAACCCGTTACCTTGGAAACCAGGTAGACACATACATCCATAAGATCCCAGTGTGTTCAGACACAGTGCACGGCGACTGCAGCCATGTGTGCTCTCAGTGCACTCGTCAATATCCTCGCAAGCCATTCCGTTGCCTCGGTAACCGTCGTTGCAAGCACACCTGAAGCTGCCGGGCACGTTTGCGCACGTGGCCTGTACGTGACACGGCGGTGGCTGCAAGGAACACTCGTTTATATCTACACCGCCAGACACACAGCCAGACACACAGCCAGACACACAGCCAGACACACAGCCAGACACACAATTTATGCATAATACACAGGTACATATAATCAGGGTTCTAGCCAAAGGGGGGGGGGGGGCTTGTGAAAATGTGCCCCTCCCCCTTACTCATTTTCCGATTTCGTGTCTTTCATGCAATTCAACAAAAATGCAGTCGGAAGTCGCTATTAGATGGTTCATAAAGGCACATTTGTCTGGGGCGAAGCCGGGATTCGCCCCATACGTTGCATTTAGCGTGGCAAGACAATATTGGAAAGAGGAAAATAGGATATAGGGTAACTGTTTCCCATGCCCCCCCCCCTCCACAATACATGTGTGAGTAGACCCCCCTCCCCCTCCACAATACATGTGTGAGTAGACCCCCCTCCCCCTCCACAATACATGTGTGAGTAGACCCCCCCCCCCTCCACAATACATGTGTGAGTAGACCCCCCTCCCCCTCCACAATACATGTATGAGTAGACCCCCCCCTCCACAATACATATGTACACACATAAGCGTGTAGAGTACCTGGACAAACCGTTCCATTGCCGGAGTAGCCAATAGCACACGTGCAGAAGTGACTACCAACGCTGTTCTCGCAGAATGCGTTCACATCACAGTTATTCATACCAGTCGAGCACTCATTCACATCTGCCATGATCAACAACACAACAGGAAAGACAGAGAAAACACAGAGGCTTTGTTTTGCTACATATTGACATGCTCTGTGAATCCACCATACACATCTAGCCATAAGCAAGGGTGATCACTAGGATTTACCATGGAATCATAGCACACAGGATTTACCATGGAATCATAGCACACAGGATTTACCATGGAATCATAGCACACAGGGAGAAGACATGGAATCATAGCACACAGGGAGAAGACATGGAATCATAGCACACAGGGAGAAGACATGGAATCATAGCACACAGGGAGAAGACATGGAATCATAGCACACAGGGAGAAGACATGGAATCATAGCACACAGGGAGAAGACATGGAATCATAGCACACAGGGAGAAGACATGGAATCATAGCACACAGGGAGAAGACATGGAATCATAGCACACAGGGAGAAGACATGGAATCATAGCACACAGGGAGAAGACATGGAATCATAGCACACAGGGAGAAGACACACGCGACTGTAATACTAAGTCGTGTGTGTTTCGACACAGGGCTGCACAGGGCTGCACAGGGCTGCACAGGGCTGCCCGTTACTGTGTCCCTTGAAGCAGCAGGGCAAAAGAATGCACGCTCACAAATGGCTTCACTTGTCTAGACTGATCTTGGGGAAAGGCTACGATTGCGAGTTGCATGGACTATAGATCATGTAGGCTTGGCTATGTTCTAGGGTACTTGCAGGTAGGTTTCCACTCGGTCATCACATTGAAATCATATTATTCAGCCACTGTGTATGTATGTATGTATGTATGTACAATACATACACAATGCAACTTCGACGTGGCGATGGGATCGTACGATGGAGCAGAGATATGTGAGCTCGTCGGTGCTTTCCTATTGAGCAAGTTGTCTGTGCACGTTGATGAGGCCGGAATTGGACTTTACAGAGACGACGGCCTTGCCGTGCTGAAAAATGCACCAGGGCCAGTTGCCGACCGCACGAGGAAGTCCATTATCGAAGTATTCAAGCAGTTTGATCTAAAAATCACTATCGACGTTAATCTTTCGACAGTGAATTTCCTAGACGTCACGCTCAGCCTCGACACCGGGAAATTCCAGCCGTATCGTAAACCTGGAGACGCACCTCTCTACGTCAACGCCATGTCCAATCACCCACCATCCATACTACGGAACATCCCTGATATGATCGCTCGACGTGTCTCAAGCATATCTGCCGACAGCGGCGTATTCGCCGATGCTGCCCCTGCATATCGCAATGCATTAGCGGCCAGCGGATTACCTGCCAACATCAAGTACATTGACCCAACGCCACCTGCTGCAATGAACGGCAGCAAGCAAAAAAGAAAAAGGAAACGGAATGTGGTGTGGTTTAACCCGCCATACTCCAAGAGTGTCCGGACCAACATCGCCGGCACCTTCCTCCGGCTGATCGACAAGCATTTTCCTAAGGGTTCCAAAATGAACAAAATCTTCAACCGCTTCAATGTGAAGGTGAGCTACTCCTGTTTGCCGAATATGGCCCACATTATCAGTGGCCACAATAAGCGTCAATTGTGCGTCCAGGAACCGGACAAGCCGTGCAACTGCCGTCGCAAGGACCAGTGCCCTCTCAACGGAGCGTGCCAAGCAACCAGCATAGTCTACGCGGCGGAGGTGTCGAGTGATGGCCACAGCGATGGGCCCAAAACCTACATTGGCAGTACGGAGCCTCCATTCAAGCTTCGATACGGGAACCACAAGACATCCATCAAGCTTCCTGGATACCGCAAATCCACGGGCCTCTCAAAGCATGTGTGGGAATTAAAAGATAATGGCAAGACGCACGACATCAAGTGGCGAGTGGTCCAGAAGGCCAAGGCCTACAGCAACATAACAAAAAGATGCAGCCTGTGCCTCGAGGAGAAGGCGAGAATAATCACTGCCGACAGGAGATCGAGCCTCAACAAGCGGTCGGAGTTGATATCCAAATGTCGACATCAAAATAAATTCATGCTGTCAACACCGATAACATGATCTTCTCGGCACCCTGCCTCCAGGCAGTAGGGCCAGTTGATAGCTCTCTGCCGCCTTGTCACCATCATCATCTTTGCACCGCGGAACTCACTAGCTAGGCCAGCTCAGTTTTATCACCTTTATCCTTTATCACCTTAGTACCGCGATCCTTACTGGCTATGACACTGAATCGGATATGAGTTGATAGCGCCCCTAGCGCTTTCTGTTATCCTTGTCCCGCCATACTGGGCTTTAAATAGTGGGTTATTTTTCTTGATGTTCATATCACCTGATGAGTGCCTGAGATGGCATGAAACTTTAAGTTGTGACTGATCAAGCCATCTGTTGTTCTGACTAGTGTATGTATGTATGTATGTACGTATGCAGGCGCGTGCACCGTATGAGTTTTTTGGTGTCTGGAAACCACCTTTTTTCGGGCAATCTTGCCAAAGGAAAAGCGTGCCTACGCTCGTACTGGATTGGTTATTCTGCATACGCGTCGATCGACGGGCAGTTTACAGTACATTGACTATGTCCTTATTTCGAAGTGAGAGAGAGTTGCTTTGCATGCAGTTCAAAATACATTATTCTCTCTTTCTTCAGTGGAGAGTAGCCACAGAGAGATCGATCTCTAGGCTAGCTCTGGTTCGCTCCTGGATTGGCGATGACGTTCAAGAAATCTGTTTTGCCTCGAAATTTGAGTCCAGCACGCACGATGCAAGTCAGTTCAAGGATATGATTGACGATATCTCCTTCCAAACTGTTGACTCAAATCAAGATGACAGCCTTTCGTTCTCGCTCATGTGCGCAGCAGAGATGTTCGTCAAAAACGTTGTCGACTGGAAGACGTAAAAATGTGCGTCCATGATCCACTTGCGCTGCTTCAGAACGAAGCGCTGCTCGGGCCGCGACTCAAGGACGCGGGGCTTCGCTTTTCTCCCGCGAGCTTCCATCGAAGCAAGGTCCATAACTCTTTATTGAAATCATGTGGAACATTGCCAATACATGCCGAAAACTTCGTCATAAGAACAGAAAGAAAAATACGTCGAATGTAAGCAGTGTTTTGATGTAACAAACATGCCTGCATGGAGTGGACTAGTGAAGTACCATAGACATAGTGTTATACTTATAGACTGTAGTGTATACATGTAGCCTGGGCGGCTAGGCCTATCAAACTTTTACGGGTTTGACAAACATGTGATTGTATATTTGTATATGAGTGCATTGACCTTTGCACCCTCTTTGCAAATACTTTTTGAAGTGCTGGTATGTAAAAGGTAACCCGTTTTATCCTGCTACCGGTTATACATGTACCAACATTTCCATGTAACATCGTCCCCTCCCTCCATTCCTCGTTAATCTTATTTCTCATTCCTCGTTACTCTTATTCCTGTCCTTTCTACCCCTGTACCTGGTTGCCCTCTCAGACGCGTTTGTGCCGGCATGATCTGATGATAGCAGTCGGACGAGCCCCGCATCTCATCAGCACCAGTGTTCATTGGTTCCCTGCACCCCTGATCTTGAGTCCCCCCCCCCCCCCCCCCTAGCCTCCTCCCTAGCCCTCGCCGTTAACTCCGACGGGATGTTCGGGGATGCTCATGTGCACAAAATACATTATTATACAGTGGGTCTCCAGAATTTTTTTTACCAACTCTAGAAACCCCCCTTTCAAGACTCGGTGCACGCCACTGCTATGTATGTATGTATGTATGTATGTATGTATGTATGTATGTATGTATGTATGTATGCATGCATGCATGCATGCATGTATGTATGTATGTATGTATGTATGTATGTATGCATGTATGTATGTATGTATTTATGTATGTATGTATGTATGCATGTATGTATGTATGTATGTATGTATGTATGTATGTATGTATGTACGTATGTATGTATGTATGTATGTATGTATGTATGCATGTATGTATGTATGTATGTCTTACAGTATGTATGTATGTATGTGTATTTTTATTTGAATTCGCAAGTACACACGGGATACAAGCCCAATTACACTAAACTCACCCTGGCAGAAAAATCCATTTCCAAAATATCCTTCACGACAAACACACTCAAAGGATCCCGGAGAGTTGATGCACATTCCTCTCTGGACATGGCATGACGCATCTCCATTGTCACATTCCTCAATATCTGAAACAGTTCACATGGAAAACAAGGCTAGCAAGTGAGGGAGTATGTGTGAACTAAGGACTTATTGTGAGTGGTGTTGTTGTCGGTAAAGCATGAGACTCTTAATCTCAGGGTCGTGGGTTTGAGCTCCACGTTGGGCGCCAAGTGTTGTCAGCTAAAAAGAAGACGAGCTACACTCCTCTTGCGCGACCGCGCCACACACCAAAAGGCCATGCAAGTTACTGGTTGAGAGAGAGAGGCACACTATCTAGTGGCAGGTTCCCCTTCTCTCCACCGTCCTTACCCTGACAGAATACACCGTCACCACGGTAACCAGTAAAGCAAGCACAGGTAAACGACCCAGGTGTGTTTGTACAGGTTGCAGTCTCGTTGCAGTTGTGAGTGCCCAGTGTGCACTCATTCAGGTCTGCACACAGCAACATGCACACAGCATAGACACATGCACACAGCAACATGTAGCAACACAGACACACGCACACAGCACAGAATGACACACAGCATAGACACATGTACACGGCACAGAATGACACACAGCATAGACACATGTACACGGCACAGAATGACACACAGCATAGACACATGTACACGGCACAGCACAGGATGACGCACAGCATAGACATACCCTATTTCCCCGATTATAAGTCGCACCCCCATTTTCAGGTTTGAGCAATAGTGTTGCGATATATTCACTTCAGTAGTAAGTCATGCTCGATTGTAAGTCGCACCCCCTTTTTTACCCTGAATTTTAGTGCAAAAAGGTGAGACTTATAATCGGGGAAATGCGGTATGCACACAGTATATACATGCACACAGCCATGCACACAGCCATGCACACAGCCATGCACACAGCCATGCACACAGCCCATGCACACTGCCCAGAGCACAGCCATGCACACAGCCCAGAGCACAGCCATGCACACAGCCCATGCACACAGCCCAGAACACAGCCATGTACACAGCCCATGCACACAGCCCATGCACACAGCCCAGAGCACAGCCATGCACACAGCCATGCACACAGCCATGCACACAGCCCATGCACACAGCCCAGAGCACAGCCATGCACACAGCCCAGAGCACAGCCATGCACACAGCCCATGCACACAGCCCATGCACACAGCCCAGAGCACAGCCATGCACACAGCCCAGAGCACAGCCATGCACACAGCTTACGGCACAAACACATGCACACAGCACAGACACACCACAGACATGACACGTATCATGCGCAATCCCTCTAATACCGCTGTCACTAAAGTGCCACAATACGTCACCATCAAATATTGAATGCATGAGTAATGGATGTGTGTGAATACGCTGGCATCCACTGGCATCCAGAGTGCACTGGATAACACCTTACACAGCTATGCTCAGATGGCGGTGCAGGGTACGTGTTGGGAAGGGAAGGAGGGGGAGGGGAGGGAAGGGGAGGGGAGGGAAGGGGAGGGAAGGGGAGGGGAGGGGAGGGAAGGGGAGGGAAGAGGAGGGAAGGGGAGGAAGGGGAGGAAGGGGGTACAAGCTACTAGTGTCTAATAGCACTATTCAGGGGCGTCGGAAGGGATTTCAGTGTGGTACAGTCAGCCATCTGAAGTACAATTTACTCGTGGGGGAGTGGTGGCTGAGCCGAAAATGTCGGAAATTTGGAGCCCAAATCAGTGCATTTTATTGATTCACGGGGTACTTGGGGCAAATAGTGGTACGGTCAATACCGTAGTGACCGTGCCGAGTGCGACGCCCCTGCTATTGCCTGCCCTGTTGGAAGCAGCAGCAGTGGTAGTGGAGGCAGAACAACGAAATTAAGTTCCTTAAACCCAGTTCCTTTACCCCAATCTTGACTGTGGCTCACTTTGGCATGACAGCCATAGTGACTACTGTCTAGACAACCATGACAACCATGTAGGGAGGGCCCGAATATGCTTGCGCATATTTTCGCATATTTTGGTCCGTTTGACACAAGGTCACATAAAGTAGCAAATCTAGCATCTTGTACCAAATGTAGCATATTTTGCTACAAGGAGCAAAGAATTCGCATAATTATAGGGCAAATTGCGGAAATGGACAAGGAAACTTATCACGGCACGCTCGGTCAGGGAACACTTCCAAACTTACCCCGGAAGGAAAATGCTCATCCAAACACGGGGCGAAAATTTGACCTGAGAAGAGAGTGTCCGCAACTCAAGGTCGCATAAAGTAGCAAATCTAGCATATTGTACCAAAATATGCTACAAGGAGCAAAGAATTCGCATAATTATCACTGATATCAGTTCATAATTTGAGCATATTTTTCTGCTTTTGTGTGATTTCGAAGCATATTTTGAAGCAAGTGGCCAATATGCGAAAAGCATAATATGCGAAAATTTTGAGCATATTTGGGCCCTCCCTACAACCATGATAACCATGACAACCATGTCAAACATGATAATCATGTCAAACATGATAACCATGACAACCATGACAACCATAGTGAACCATTATCTAGAGGACGGCACTCACCTTGACATGATCTACCATCACCTACAAATCCAGAGCGACACGAGCAGCTGAATGACCCCGCAATGTTCTGACAGTCAGCATTCGGATCGCAGTCATGTGCACCAATGCTACATTCATCGATATCTGTGTGACATAATACATTACATGCGCTACGGAGATGTGTTGAAGCTAGGTGTCAGGACGTCGAATGTCTCAGTACTCTGTCAGTTTTGTGCCTAGTTGTTGCACTTTCTGACTGTACATAGTATCTAGTTACAGTGGTGGAGAGTTACTCTTAACTCGTTTCCATATGTCCTTTTCCTTTCTACTTTTATTATTGGCTCAATACCCGAGTTTCATCATATATTACATCATACCAAGAGTAGATAAACAAGAGTGTGCAACTCGCGGATGGGTTGGCCCACGGCGGAATTTTTTGTTGACGTAATCTTTTCGACGACGCACGCGCTGCGAGCCTTTTGGAGAGTTTTCCCTCGTGCACTTGGCTGGGCTTTACACTACAAGGTCGGTGCCCAGCACGTGCTCTCACACTGCTCTGCGGCAGAATCCGCGTTTCTCTGAAAAAAGGTGACGTAAACAAAAAATTCCGCCGTGGGCGCGGGGTATCCGCAGATTGTGCAGGAGAGATCCGGAGTTGCACACTCTTGTTTATCTACTCTTGCTTATACATAAAAGCACGTGTAGACAGTGTAGTGCCGGTATACAGCACGACAGCAGTACATGTATAAGGTATAAGGACTGCTCTGGTGACCAGCCAAAAAATATAAGTTTCCATGCATGGCATGGTAAGTGAAGTTAGCAACCCACCAACATACTTGCATTGTACTTGCCATAACGCATCACGTGCACATGCAGAACACGCACTCTGAACTCCCGCACTTCGGCACGGGAGCATGCGCATTACTCCAGCTCTCGATGCTGTTTCTTCTTCATCCTTGCTGCGCCGACAGTCAGATGGCCTGACAACCTTGGCCAGTTTTTTGAGCACGCGTGGCCACATGGCCGGGCCTTATTCCCAACCCCCGTTTCCTAATATCCGATGTTCTGGTGTTGGCATTGTGCCCAAGACGTCTGGCGGCGTACGCGTCATCATGCATTTATCTGCCCCTAGTGGCTCTAGCATTAACGATGGCATTTATCCCGACGAATTCTCCCTGCATTATGTTACGGTAGATGACGCAATACACTGCATTTTCCAGCACAGCCCTGGAGCTCTCCACTCTAAAGTTGACATGAAGCACGCCTTCCGGCTCTGCCCGGTTTCCCCTGATGACTGGCCCCTACTTGGCATTTTTTGGGAAGGTTCGTACTATGTCGATAAGGCACTACCATTTGGCCTCAGATCCTCCCCATTTCTGTTCAACAGGCTAGCCGACGCTGTGGCATGGATTGCAGTTATTAATTACGATATAGTTGATTTGCTGCATTACCTAGATGATTTCTTTCACGTCCAGCTGCCCAGCTCCATAGCTATTCTCAAATTCAAGACCCTGCTGGCTGTATTTGATATGCTGAACATCCCATTGGCCGACGGAGAGGACAAAGTGTGCCCGCCGTCAACTTTAATAACATTCCTGGGTATCGAGCTCGACACAGCCGCCAGGGAGCTGCACCTCCCCGCTGCAAAACTGGCGGAACTACAATCAGCACTTGTCGTGTGGCTGTCAAAGCAGATGTGCACCAAGAGGGACCTGCTGTCCCTGGCCGGTAGCCTGTCTTTCGCAGCCAAAGTCATTCCAGCGGGTCGCACATTCTGCGACGCTTGTTCGACAGCGCAGCAACGCTCCCCAGCCTGGATGCACCGGTAGCCGTGCCCTCGGAGGTAAGGCTTGATATCCTGTGGTGGGATGCTTGTATTAGTCAATGGAATGGCCGGAAGCCTCTCATGGAGCCGTCCTGGAGCACAGCCGAAGACATCGGGCTGTACACCGACGCTTCAGATCGACACGGTTTCGGTCTGGTTTTCGGCAGCAAGTGGTCCTATGGCGTATGGTCTCCTGACCAAGCTGAGCACACTATCGAATGGAAATAGTTGTACGCCGTGATGTTGTCCCTCTGTACCTGGGCACACACGCTGGAGGACAGACGAGTGCTACTCTACACTGACAACGAAGCAATCTGCCACATTTGGCGCTCTGGCACGTCCCCCAATAGAGCAGTCATGGACCTGGTCAGGGCCGGCTTATTGAAAGCTGCCCAGCATAACATTGTCCTCTTGCTTCGTCACATCGCCGGATATTGCAATGATCTTGCTGATGCTCTCTCCCGTCTGCAGGTACAGCGCTTCCGGACCCTCAACTCACCCGCCGATGCAGCGCCTACACCACCAGTGCAGTCCACCCTCCATCAGTTGATGACGCAGCCATGGAGCTCATCCGCCACGGCCTGGCAGACAACTCCAGCACGACGTACGCTTCAGTGCAGCGTTCCTACGAACGCTTTGCTGCGCTACCGCAGGTCGCGCCGTATCCGGTGACTGAGCCTTGTCTGATTAACTTTCTGAATCGGAAATTCTCGTCTGGCTTGTTGGGCTTGTCTCTGAAACTCTACACCCAGGCGCTGAGACATCAGCACGTCCTGCAGGGCCTCTGCCTGGATGTGTTTGCCTCGCCGCGTGTCAGGCTGCTCCAGCAGGGGCCCCTGAGATCTCAGACTGCAGTCCGGAAAGTGCTAACGGCTGCGACCTTGGACGATCTGGCCGGCGTACAGCACTACCTGCGGTCTACTGTGCCTAGCCCGCACAACCGCGCTATGTTCTGGAGCGCCGTGACTCTGGCTTTCCACGGGTTGCTCAGAGTCAACGAATACACCAACACGCCACGGGGTGCCGGCCTCGAAAACAATTATGCCACTATCCACCCAGACCGCATAGAGGGGTTCGAACCTAGGAATCTGTATCCACACAAGCTCTACAAATAAATACTCCTTTACTGCGAAAAATATACTTTCCATCAAAATGCGACTCCTACATAGCTACCTGTTGTTGTATACACCGGTACATCGATCGATCGATTTCTTTTTGAGAATTATTTTAGTATTTCAAGATCGCCAATTTATTTGAATTTAGGAGTCGACGCCGTCTTCTATCAGCTTTCACAGGCGTCTGCTTTTCTCAAAAATGTCGTCGAAGTCACACGGATAGCTTTGCCAAGTCATGGCCTTGGGAATGAGTCTGTGTCGATGTTGTTTTCGTCACATCGTGAGAGTAAATTGCATTCGCGGCAGCTCAAAGAAACCATTTTATTGGTTACAAAACGAATTGGGACGCGCGCATCCCGCTTGTCAACATTTACCACACTTTCGACATGTCCTCTCTGACTCCGAGGAAGAACTCGCTTGTTGTAAACCAGACGTACATGTACCGACGTCAGCGAGTTGTCATTTTTCATGCTTTCGCGCGGAATGTTTCTTCGAGTTCACAGTGAGTTTTTCCAGGCAGCGCTCGAGCGCTCATACGGTAAGACGGCAAACTCCCCGGCCGATCGCCAGGATTGTTAATCTTTTTGAAACTGACTGTAGTTGGCTAAGAGCTAAACTGCCCTGCAAAACGTCAATCCACACAACATATTTATTTATTTATTTATTTTGACTAGTTTGAGGGAAAGACACAAACGGGAAAAGTCTGAAGAATAAATTGACTGTCACCACCAGGACTCGAACCAGGGACCCTCGCTTGTAGCTAGTGATGCTCAAACCACTGAGCTATGGTGCAGTCGTCATCCCAGCAGAGACCGTTCAACATCCTCTTCAGACTTCGTAACTCACACTTCCTGTTATTAATTATTTGATTTATTTATTGCAACATCTCAAGACTCCGTGGAAACACAGGTCAATGACAATACACCAGTGACACTGACACTGACACTGGGAGTGCAGGTTAGACATGGGTCTGCTTCAACAGCAACTATGGTTAGAAGTTACTATCATCAGGGATTGGCTACCTGACTTCAGGTGGGGGGGGGGGCAAAGACGATGAGGGAAAGGAGATGAGTATCTCCGTCACTATGTTCGCCGGCCAAGTAGTCAATGTTTTCCTCCATATTTTTAATCTGCTGCACAGAACAGAGCCATGTACTGTTGCGATGGTAGTACACATACCTTCACACATCCGCCCGTTGCCTTCAAATCCAGCATTACATGTGCAGGCAAACGACGCCGGTGTATTGCGACAGGTAGCCCGGGTGAGATCGCACAGGTGCGTTCCCAGAGCGCATTCATCTATATCCGTACATGAAACTCCATTACCAGTGTACCCTGGTCGACACCTGCATGGACACGTGCACAGACAGACATCATACAGTGGTACACCCATACACACACATCATACCGGGGTACACGTGCACAGACATCACAGAGTGATGCATGTACACACACACATCATACAGTGGTGCATACACACACACATCATACAGTGATACACACACATCATACAGTGATGCATACACAGACACATCATACAGTGGTACACATATACACACATCATACAGTGATGCAAGAACAATTCAAACAGGAGCAAACATATTGTTCTCGAGACTCTCCAACAGATATTGCGTGACATTCGACTCTCCAACAGATATTGCATGACATTCTACTCTCCAACAGATATGGCGTGACATTCGACTCCCCAACAGATATCACGCGACATTCGACTCTCCGACAGATATTGCATGACATTCGACTCTCCAGCAGATATCGCGTGACATTCGATATAGCAGATCAAATGTCAAATCCAGTACATCATTGCTCTATTGCTAAAACGAGCTCAAAGGTCAAATCAACTGCTGCCCGTAATACACTACTGCACGGGACAAAGGGAGTTTTCCGTGCAGTATACTGCACTCTCTGCAAGACCACCGATTGGCTCAATCCATGGCAACAGTCACAAGGGATGCAATACTATAGCAGCAATGGTGACATTCGGTGGCAGTCATTCATACTGGGCATGAACGTGATGTCAGAAGTTTGCGGACAATTAGAAAAGTCAACAACTACTTCAACAACTACTTCTGGGTTAAATTGGATCCACTCTGCCCATCTCAGAATATACCGTATTTCCCCGTAAGTTAGTTCTCCCCAATGACTTAGTACCCCCTATAAAAAATACACTTTCCACTGCCGAGGTTATCACCCCGAAAGACAGTTCCCCCCGAAAGATAGTAAGTTCGTACCCGTCCTACATGTACAGACACCGTACAGTACATACATCATATGCACGGACACTAGAGTTGCGCAGGCTTCCCACTGCGTGTCAGTTACCCCCGAAAAAAAAGTACTCCCCGAAAGATAGTACCACCCCCGAAAGTTAGTACTCATGTGGCTGCTAAGTTCGAAAGTTAGTACGTACTAACTTACGGGGAAATACGGTAGTATGTAGTGCATGGGCCCCTCGTCGTGTCGCAAACAGGTAGGTTTGTTCTGTACCAGGAGTGGGTCGAGGAGTTGGAGTGCCAAGGCCAGTTACTACCAGCAAATGTGTTACCCTGCCGTGAAGTAAAACCACCCAAAGAAGCACGGATCCATACAAAAACTGGATCAATGTAGATGCAAAAGGTGGCGCTGCCATGACTCTAGGCTGAGTGCGACATAGCATGTTCAACTCCGGCTATTGCATAGTGGCTGAGACATAGCATGTCCCATCCCAGCTATCACCTAGTGACTTACGTGCAGAAATACGATGCTAGCGTGTTGGTACAGTCAGCATTGCTATCGCAGAGTGTCGTATCTTGACATTCATCGATATCAGCACACTGCCGTCCATCTCCCGTATAGCCAGCTATACACATACATGTGAAAGCCCCGGGCGTGTCTGTGCACGTTGCCGCAAAACTACAGTTGTGCGTTTGTTGTACACATTCATCAATATTGTCACACACAACACCGTTACCAGAGAAGCCGGCCTGGCATGTGCACATAAATGATCCGGCCGTATTAGCACAGTCGGCATTGTCATCGCAATTATCCAAGTTTTCATCGCATTCATTGATGTCCACACAGTTCAAACCATCACCACGGTAACCCACAAGACATGCACATGTGAACGAGCCGGGTGTATCGGTACAGGTAGCAGCTGCATGACAATCATCAATGTCTTCTGTACATTCATTGATATTCACACAAACAACACCATCACCACTGAAGCCAGAGTTGCATTGACATGTGAATCCGGGTACTTGATTTGTACAGATAGCATTGTCATGGCAACTGTCCGTCTGCAAAGTACATTCATCAATATCCTGACACTGTTGTCCAGTACCAGTGAATCCAGGAAGACATGAACATGTCCATGAACCAACGGTGTTTGCACAGTTTGCGTTTACATCACAATCATCACTGCCCTCAAGACATTCATTGATCTCCTGGCAGACAACTCCGTTGCCACGGAAACCAGCATTGCACCGGCACTCAAAGGACCCTATGGTGTTGGTACAGATGGCGTTGGCATGGCAATTGTCAATGCCGAGGGCACACTCATCCAGATCAGAGCAGACATTCCCGTCACCACTAAATCCAGCACGGCAGACACACTGATGAGATCCCATTGTGTCCGTACACTCCGCAAACGCTGAGCAACGATGAGTTCCATCGCTACACTCGTCTATGTTAGCGCAGGTGAGACCGTTGCCGGTAAAGCCACTCTGACATGCGCAGCTGAATGAACCTGGTGTGTTGCTACAATCAGCATTGGCATCACACCGATGTGTGCCCAGAACACATTCATTCTGATCTGAACAGTCAGGATGTGGAACACAGTAATTGGCGGAGAGAAATACACAATACATGAATGAAAAATGTTCCAAAACTATTATTAACACAAGCATCTGCATGCCGCACTCACACAACGAGCAACCAGTTTGGGGAATAGGAGGGTTTGTCAATTGCTTTGCCAGGCTCCGAGTGAGTGACAGCTTAGAGCTGTGTGAATGTGTGTGTATGGCAGCTGGGCAGGGCCCTGCTGCGGAGGCTGAGTGAGCCGTATGGAGGCAGCCGGGCAGGGCCCGGCTGCGGAGGCTGAGTGAGCCGTATTGAGAGGCTGAGTGAGCCGAGGCTGAGTGAGCCGTCTGAGTGTGAGAGGCTGAATGAGCCGTATGAGGAGCCTGGTAAGCAAGGTTGACTCCCCTCCATGTATTTACAGAGTTTCGCCGGTAGACGGCATCGGTGTAGTTATTGTAGGCCGGTATGATAATGGATACCGACAGGAGAGAACTAGAATAGGAAACATGATGATGACAATAGTGGAGTGGGTGGGTGGGTTGAGAAAGTAATCCACTGCCAATGCGGACAAAGCAAGAACTGAAGTCAGGAACAGTGGACTTCGGAGAACAATGAGCGTGTGAGAGTTTGTTGGGAACAGAGCATGCGCCTTCTGTGTTAACATATTTTTTGCGCGTGCGCAAAAAATCATGAGAATCGACAATGCTGCTGGTGCTACATTCCCATGCAATCTACGGGAATATTTGTACTTACCCACATGTACATGTGCAGGTTTGGAAAGACACTACCATTTCGAGTAGATGCGCTCTAGTGTTGTCTACAGGAAATGGCAGATTCTACTTTTCTCTACATTCTTATACACGCTGTACGACACGGTAATCTCTGAGTAGAAGGAGACTAAATGAACTCATCCTAAGAGCTCATTCTTTGGCCCTCTTTTCAACACCCTATATCTCTCACACATATGATTTAGGTCCAAACTACTTCTGTGATATTGTAGTCCTGCTGGAGCCTGTCTGGTTGTGCAGGCCATAGTTGGATCAAACCGCTGGCCGCTAACAATGTGTTTGAAGATGTAATAGGTGTATGTATGCTACGACCTGAATACTCACCATTCATATTTCCCGCTCGTTCCCCTTGGCAATGTGCACTCACATAGAAGAGCGCATGCTCCAGTTCTGTTGTAGTCTTGTCTTGAGTTGTCGTTGTCCTGTTCTCCTTCTGTTTACACTCTTATCGAATACTTCTAATTATCCAATCATAAAACCCCTGTGTTCCGGTGTGAGGGGGCATCATTAGCCGGGAGCAGCTAACACTGGTGGCAGCGGAAAACGTCCACCACTACATCGCTGGCGGAGTATGTACGCCTTCGGAGATCGCCGACTATGAAGTACCACGAAGGCCCACGCAAGTGAAACCATATCCTCATCCACTCTCTTCGTCAATATTTTCCTTTCTGCATTGTGTTTCTTTCTGCTCGTCGTTTTCTTGTTGCATGCATTGTTTACCATGGTTTACAGTCCATAGGTCAAGCATTGGCGCCAACCTGTCTGGCCAAACATTTTCGGAACATTTTCTGTGTCCGTGTTTTGTGCATACTGGCTGCTGTCTAGTGTCTTGTTAGGATATCAGCTAGCTGGGTAGTAGAGTCTAGCTACACTGTGTCCGTAGAGTAGTTGCCTATTTCAGTATTTGGAATTGTCTCTGCCAAATTTAGTTGTTTGCCGCTACGCACGATAGGTTACGTAATAGATTTAGATCGATAGTTGATCGAGGCGTCGATCGAGTCCACGGGAAATTTTTGCAGATAATTTTTTTTTTCGAAAATTCAAAAATACAAAAACAATTTTTTTTTCACAATGGGCCGTTCAGCGAAATCCAAGAGACAAGAAAAGCTAGAGCGTAGCTTCGCTGAAGCTGGCTGTGACATGAACATTGCTGAAGAGCGCGAGAGTTCGCCGGTACAGGGGTTGTCCCATCGTTTTCGTTTGCCGGACACAGACACACCACATGCACGTCCACTGCCGAAGCCAGTTTTGCTTCCTGAGACATTCGGAAATCAGCCAGGCCAAGATTTCACCACGTACATGAGGCATTTCGTCCACACATGCGAGTTGAGTGGGTACGACGACGACCAAAAGCTACGGCTACTACCTGCTCGCCTTGTTGGTACAGCTCATGAGATGTTCACCGAAATTCTAACTCACACGCCTGACATGAACTTTTCCGACACAGTCGAGGCTCTGCATGTCCGTCTTGAGCCGCCCCAGCAAGCATTGATGCACGAGGCCAGTCTTCGCCAGCGAGTGAAGCTGGCGAGTGAAACTCAGCACGGGTATGCCACGGAACTTCGTCGGCTCGCTCGTCGAGCCTACCCAGGACAACAAGGTGCACTGCTTGATTCAATGCTTTTGCAACTTTTTATTGATGGCCAGGCATCGAAGGATTTGCGCTTGGCGTTGGCGTCACCTCGGCCCACTGATTTGGATGCGGCGGTCCAAAAGGCCATCGAGGTAGGTGCTATTTATGCTCGCGAGCAGGCCCGCACCGTACCTCACCAGTATGCACAGCACGTATTTGCTGCTGCTCCGGAAGTGAAGCCCGGTCGCACTGCTCATGGTCGTGACCCCTACACAGCAGTCGGTCCACTGAAGTCGGAATCTGAGCGAGACCAGTTGGCTTCGCTTTTGTCGAGATTTGATTCGCGTCTCTCTGCTTTGGAGGCGAAAATGGAGAGCGTGAGTCTGTATCGCCCCACCCGACCCCAGCAAGACCATGTACGTTTTGTTGCTCGTGGTGCTGGTGCCGGTGCGCCTAGCCGTGGTCGTGGTCGTGGCCAGAGTTTTGCGAGGCCTGTGCGTGGAGTGTGCCATGGATGTGGTGAAGAGGGCCACTTCATTGCATCTTGCCCGCACGCAAAAAACTAGGTTGGACTGGTGACACGGGGCCGCCGTCAGTCGTCCGAGTGGAGCCCCTCGAGGAGGTATGTGGTGCGATCTCACCCATTATTGTGCACGTTGATGTTTGTCTTTCGTCTTCGTCTTCGTCCCCTGTTGTTGCTCTTGTTGATTCTGGTTCAAGTGTGTCGTTAGTGCATTTTAAATTGTTGCCTAATTTGACAGAGCGACCTCCTCTAGAGTCTGCTCCGCGGTTGTGTGCAGTCAATGGCGCACAACTTCCTGTCGTTGGATCCATGGATCTGTGTATGTCGCTAGGAAATCTGTCTTTCCAGCACACGGTTGTTGTCTCTCCTGGTATTCACTGCGACATGATTCTTGGTTCCGATTTTTTGTTGCAGCATGGTGGTGTATTAGATATTGCTCGTGGTGTTGTGATGTTTGGCGATGTGTCTGTTCCGTTGCAGGTTTCTGGTTCTGGGTGTCCTCCGTCACGTACGCCCTATGATCGTATTGTTCCGCGTAATACTTCCCCCTCATGTAATACTCATACTCCTCATTCTGATGCATGCTCCGACGATGTACCTGTTTCGTCGTATTCTTCTCGTGTTGCCCTTGACGATGAGCTGTCTGTGCCTGCTGGCCATGTTGTGCTAGTACCATGTGTCTATGTGGATGCTTGTTCGGAAACTCTGGATTGTGTTGCTGATCCACTAGAGTCGTTTGTGGATAAGTTTCCTACGTTGTCGGTGACACCTGCACTTGTAACAGTGGGTCCCGATCACTCACACATTGTCATGACTATTGAGAATCACGCTGAGCATAATATTATTATACATAAAAACACCAATATTGCCGAACTGTCTCCTCTCATTATGGATGATGATGATGAAGATGACGCCGCCGTTTCATCCGTCACCACTGATCACACACCTGAACTCACAGAACAGCGCAAGGCTACCATTCATGAATACGTTAAATCACAACAAAACCTCTCATCCGAAACCAAAAGCATGCTCACCACACTCCTTATTGATAATCACGATTTATTTATCTTGCATGATGATGACTATGGCTACTGTGACATATTCCCTCATAAAATTAACACAGGACAAAATAACCCTATAAAACAACCTACCAGGCGGATTCCATATCACCGCCGGAAGGCTCTGCAAGATCTACTGAATACGCTGTTGAAGCAAGGCATAATACAAGAATCGATTAGTCCGTGGGCATCACCCATAGTATTGGTGCCAAAGAAGGATGGCTCTCTTCGACTCTGTATCGACTACAGGAAGTTGAACTCTGTCACCGAACCTGACGCCTACCCGATTCCAAGGGCGGATGACATGCTTGATTCCCTGTCTGGCTGTCGGTATTTCACGTCCCTTGACTTAGCGTCAGGTACTGGCAAATAGCAATGGAAGGAAGCGACAAGGCTAAGACGGCATTTACCACGCCACTGGGCTTGTTTGAGTTTAATGTTTTGCCGATGGGCTGCAGGAATGGCCCAGCGACATTTCAGCGCGTAATGGAAGCAGTCCTGAGTGGCTTATGTAACACACCGGCCCAGCCATTCTGCCGTGTGTTCTTTGATGATGTCCTGAATGCCAGCGAAACGCTGTCTGGCCAACTCCAGATTCTGCTGCCCGTATTCGCGCGAGTTCGGTCCGCTGGACTGCGGTTCAATCTGAAGAAATGCTCCTTCTTCCAGGAGGAGGTCACTTTCTTAGGACACCGCGTGTCAGCGGAGGGCATCTCCCCGGATGAGGCCAAACTCGTCGCGGTCAGGAACTGGAAGACTCCGAAATCTGTCACAGCTGTCCGCGAGTTCCTTGGCTTCGCTGGATATTATCGCCGCTTCATCCGTGGGTTCGCCCAGCGTGCTGCTCCGCTGACTGCTCTGACAGGCAAGAATGCTCGCTTTGCGTGGTCGAAAGCTTGCGAAGCGGCGTTCCAGGCTCTGAAGCGTTCGCTTGCCAGTGCGCCGGTGATGGCGTACCCCCAGTTTGAAGATTCAGCAGGTGCATTCATTCTGGACACCGATGCGAGCAATGTGTCGATTGGTGCAGTCCTCAGCCAGATCCAGGATGGAACTGAGCGACCAATTGGGTACGGCAGCCGTGTACTGACGAAAGCTGAGCGCAACTACGATGCTAGCGATCGTGAGGCCCTTGCTCTGGTCTATTTTGCGGAGTATTTCAGGCACTACTTGTTGGCACGACCATTTGTTGCCAGGACGGACAATACTGCGTTGACTGCACTCCGGAACCTGAAGGAACCCCGCGGACGGAAAGCACGTTGGCTTGACTGTTTGTCCGAATATGAATTCCGAGTCGTCCACCGTCCAGGTCGCCAACATCTGAATGCCGATGCTATGTCCCGCGTGGTGACCGATGTGCCGTCTCCTCCGCCGAGTCCGCCGTCTCTTGCCCGTGATGTTCCGTTGTCAGCTGCTGATGCAATGCCACTTGCTGCTGATGTTCCTCCGGCTGCCGAGATTCTTCCTCCGGCCGTTTTTGTTCGTCCTCCTGGTCCATCTGCCGCTGGACCGTCGTCACCTGATTGTTTCAAGCCTCAGAGTCTTCTTGCTCCGTGTGCCGATCCTGCTCTGTCTGAGTGTTTCACCCGATATGATGCTGCCAGTGGCAAGTTTGTTCGTCCGCCTGAAGCCGTTTCCCGTCCTCCCGACTGTCAACCGCCTGCCGTTACTGCTTCTTGTCCTGACCCGATTACGCTGTCCGATGATGATTTTCCGCCGCTACAGCCGCCGTCGTCTGCTCCGGTCCGTACTTCTTCTCCTGTTTCTCGTCGTTCTGGCCGTGTTCGCACTGCACCTGCTCGACTGGCTGACTATGTCCTGGACTGAGTTTATTATTTGGTTTGTTTTCTTTTGTTTGTTTCCTAGGTATTTCGTTCATTCCCGTGGACGTGAATTTTAGCTAGGGGGGCACAGTGTAATAGGTGTATGTATGCTACGACCTGAATACTCACCATTCGTATTTCCCGCTCGTTCCCCTTGGCAATGTGCACTCACATAGAAGAGCGCATGCTCCAGTTCTGTTGTAGTCTTGTCTTGAGTTGTCGTTGTCCTGTTCTCCTTCTGTTTACACTCTTATCGAATACTTCTAATTATCCAATCATAAAACCCCTGTGTTCCGGTGTGAGGGGGCATCATTAGCCGGGAGCAGCTAACAAAGATACGACTTCTCCTGGACCAGGAAATCTGCCACTGATGTGAAGAAGGATGATCTGCTGCAAGGATATAGCGTCAAATGCCAACTCTGTAGTCAAGATCTGGATGGAAACGTCGCTTTAGCATCTCACAGTTCACCACTGCATCCCACACTCCTTTCTACCCAACGTCAGCTTTCCAGGTTCGTGAAGTATTTGTCTTGTGCAGTTAGCAACTTTCAAATGTGACGCGGTTAGACGTCAATGTGACGCGGTTAGACGTCCAACATGATTGTGTTCACTGTCACTCAGGTACCACTTTGCACCCATCTTTGTCGCCACGTCAGTATACTTTGTGACGTGTAGTTTTTCAGCGCAACCTATTCTGTGTACCTCTCTTTCTCCTTGTGATTGACTTAGCACCTGTGATAGTTGTGTCGGTAGGGTTCATAACACCTACGTTTTACACTATTCCATTTATGTTGATTTGTTACACATGATAGTTCGTTGAGTGTACACACATTGCACCAATATCTTCTATAAAACAATATCATTTAGTTCAACCCATGTCATTCAACATCTACCTCTCCTCTGATGAGTTCCCAACATCATAATGGAACGAAACAAGGCTTGTCAGGAGCAACTTCTACTACGTGACTGTTGTGGAGTGTGACTGGTGCAGTATTCGTGCTGGTGTCTGCAAGCGTCGTCCGGTCTCGTCTGGTCATAAGAAAAATCTACCAATGTGTTTGCTGCCAATTATCATTTTTCGTAGCCATTGAGACCACAATGAGATGCGTGCTGAGCCCCTACTGCATGTGGCACATGCTTTGCAGGCAATAGTACATAGCATGGCAATCGTACATAGCATGGCAAGTACATAGCATGGCAATCGTACATAGCATGGCAGTACATAGCATGGCAGTACATAGCATGGCAATCGTACATAGCATGGCAATCGTACATAGCATGGCAATGACCTTACCATCACACGTATTGTATGTCATATTGTAAAGATAACCGCGTCCACAATTACAGGTGAAAGAGCCGCGGTTGTCTTCACAGATGCCAGTAACCGGTGGACAGTTGTGCAAGCCAAGAGTACATTCATTGATATCTGCACCACACCGATATACAACAATGTCTGAAGCATACACGCACGATGATGTCTGAAGCATGCAAGAACAATGCCTGAAGTACACAAGCACAACGATATCTGAAGCATGAATGCACATTGATATCTGAAGTATACACGCACAATGATATCTGAAGCATGAATGCACATTGGTGTCTGAAGCATGCGAGGACATTGATTTCTGAAGCATGCACGCACAATGATATCTGAGGCACACATGCACATTGATGTCTGAAGCATGCAAGAACAACGCTCAACTAGCTAGGCATGGTCACATCCAGAAATACCAGTCAGAGGAGTATTAGTATTTCGAACTAGTATTTTCCCAAACAAACACTCGGCCAGCGCCACAGCGGCTTATGCTCAGAAAATACGGCTGCAAAGCAATCACCCCTACGTCATGCAATATACATACTTAGATTGTATAACTTCAAGTAGGTACTAGCTGCCACTGCACACAAGTATAGCAATGCATGAGTGATGACCCACACACATACAACACTCAGACATAAGTAATGACTCACACGAGTAGGCCCATGCATGAGTGATGACCCACACACATACAACACTCAGACATAAGTAATGACTCACACGAGTAGGCCCATGCATGAGTGATGACCCACACACATACAACACTCAGACATAAGTAATGACTCACACGAGTATGCCCATGCATGAGTGAAGACCCACACACATACAACACTCAGACATAAGTAATGACTCACACGAGTAGGCCCATGCATGACATGCACGTGTGCTGTGGTCCCCTGTCATGACTTGTGTGGCCGGCTGTACCCTGGGTTCTCGCTCATTCCCAGCACACGTCTGCCCAAAGTGTGCGACGCACAGTCACTCTAAAATCTTTCTTATGCGTGTATATGTGCGTCTGCAAGCGTATACACGTACACATACGTGTGTGTGTATGCAGGTGTGTGTGTGTGTGCAGGTGTGTGTGTATGTGCATATGTATGTGCATATGTATGTGCGTGTATGTGCGAGAAAGTGCATGGTGGCTGACTTACTGCTACAAAACAGCAATCCATCTCCGTCAAACCCAGGGTTGCACATACAG